TATATATAATTATATATAATTGTAAATAAAATATATCAATTTTTTATATAATTATATATAATTTTATATAATTATATATAGTTATATATGAAACTTTTTTTCCCGAGTACTGTAAGTATTAAATTGATTAGTGATTAATTATGATTAAATGCTAAGTAAATTGGTTAATTATTGTAAGTGATAAATTATTTTATTTTGAACGTACAAATGAATCAATATTTATTCAGATTGAATAATTATCATTATATAATTTTCAAATTAAAAATTATATTTCAGAAATTAATAAGATAATTAAGGATATAGAAAATTTCTTTAAAATTTCGAAGTTCTGTTGAAAAATAAGTATCTATACATTATATTAAATACTGTTTATTATTATATATCAATAAAAATATCATATTCAATTCAAAGAAATGAAAAGTAAAATAGTATCGTTATATTATTTAGTTATATGCACATTTCAAAATATATTATTCATTAATACTAACGAAAAAGATAATTTATTTTTTGTCAAAAAGAAAATAAAAATAAAAATTGAGAGCTACATTTTAGTAATTATAATAGATCATACAGATTATTGACTATAAATTATACGATTGTAAGATTATTTATCTAATTGTCTAATTATCTAATGTTTACGGCCCTTAGACACAGTCCTTAATACACGTACACATTAATTAAATGTAATGACGTCATCAAGACTTTACAGTGTGTTATCTACGATAGTATGATTCGTACGCGAGCCTCGAGATGAGACGACACCTATTATTACCACAGATAACAATTGTTACAACAAATCTGCATATCAATTTATCAATCAACAATTGACAATCAAAAGCAGCAAACACGAATTTTCGGCACTTAGCGATTTTCAGGATTTATTTATACGTATACTTGCACAAATCGTTCCGTAAATCGATCTCTATTGCGCCTCGCACTCACTCGTCCACCATGTCAATGAGTCTTTATCGAATTTTGGTCGACTCTAGTCATGTACGATTACTCGCCAGTCAGGTCGAAATATCGTCGTATGGTCAAGGATCGATAATTTAAGTCGGCAGAAGCACGCATGCTTGAACGTAGCAACAGGTGTCGAGTTGGCAAACAGATTTGGCTTTCACCAGTTATGGGTACCGGCTGGTTTATACGATGGGACACGAAATCATTGATGTAATATTGTAGACTAATTACGTATGATCCGTTTCGATCGAAAATGATCAAATGAATATTTATGGAAAGTTAGAAATGAAAGCAAGAATTATTAAGTTTCCTCTCAACAATTAATTTAACTAATATAAGTTTCATTTACTTGGAATTTATTATGAAAATATATTTATTACATTATATTATGAAAACTTGATATAAAGTAATAATTTGTTATCAACGATTACTCTTTATCAATATGACATTTGCTGGAATAGAAATAAATGGTAATAGAATAAAACATAAATTAAATCCGTATTGATAGATATTTACTAGACTTGAGATGTTTTCCATTTAGTATACAAATCGACACAAACAGCATTCTATCTTTCTTGACATTTCAGTGAGTAATAAAGATACTTGTGTCGATTTATGTCACTAAACGGAAAACATTTTATATTCTGGAATTTAATTTGTGTGAAATAATGTTAGCGAATGTTAAGTGAAACGCGATTCCTTTTAGGTCCGATTGCACCAACGTTACTTTAATTTTAAGCGAGGCTTAAAACTCTCTTTTGTTCCTGTCTTTTTTTCGGTTTTGAAATGAAATAGAAAGAGTTTTAAGTTTCGCTTAAAATCAAAGTAACGTTGGTACAACCGGATCTTAATCGTTTAATTTGGAAATTATTTTAATAAAAAAGTCAACTCTAATTCGTTAGATAATTTTAAAGCGAAATAGAGACAGAGTTTTAAGCCTTGCTTAAAGTCAAAGTAACGTTAATGCAACCGGGCTTTAATAGATAGATTTAATAGATAGATAATTGATCATTATCACTGGATTTATGTGAGACGATAAGAACGCAAAACATTTTTTTTACTCATACTTATCGAGAGAAAGTTAAATTAATTAGGTGAATTAAAAAAATTTATGTCACTCAAATGTTAATACAATTAATGATTGATGTAATTATCAAATAGAAAGAATTAAGTACCTTGTTCGTGCAGAAATATAATGTAGAAAACATACCTTCTCGGCAATTTCTCGTTTTTATATACTATCGATCGCCTTCGTGAAATGTGAAACACAATGCAAATAAACTTGAATAATGTGTAAACGGAAATATTTGAAAGTATATATACCTTAGAGAAGAGAACCAACTACGTACTTATCGTTAATGGGTTTCCATTTGATAATGTCATGAGTTGACACAAGTCGACACAAACGTCTTTGTTACTCTCTGAATATCAAGAAAGATAGAATGTGTCGACTTGTGTCGCTAAATGGAAAGCATCTAATAACACGCCGATGATAGTCAAAAATTGATGCAACAACGACTGATAACTAGTTAAATATGTAATTTATGTAATTTGTCACAAAATAGGTTTATCGCAAGGTAAAATTCATTAAATTTTATATATATATATATACCAGATAATTAGATCGTTCCATTGTACGGAAAGTACGATATAATATGAGCGGTTACAGGAATTTAGAAATGTACGCGGTATATAAAGAAAAATATAATTTCTAATTCTAGGTATATTTTTTGATAACTTACATTAAAAGCTACGGGATCTTCGATGCGTTAGATGAAGAGTTTTGCAGACAATTGATTTCGTTTGCGCTAAAGCGACCGCGCCGATAAGATTATTCATTAGGTGATATGCCGAATACACGTATTTTGACTAAAAGCAGAGTCTTCTCTCTGTTAAAAGTGTCGAAACACCTAGATTTAACCTTCTCTCCGAATAACCGAATAATTGCGCACGCAATTCATTATAATCGCTTCGTTTTCAAAGAATTCTGTATGATAAACAGAAATATATACGTCTTTCAATGTTTGACTGCATATATGTCTTTCAATCTGAAACTAATTAATATATGTTCTGCTTTATTACGTCATTCAAGTAATCGCAAATGTAATTATTAGCTATTCAATCATTATAAAATTGCTACTATTTTCCGTCAATATTACTGCTATAGAAAGTACAAAATTTGAGAGAATTTTGCTCGTAGATTGCTGAAACATAAATAGAATAGAATTTTATTAGCACCTTGATATAGATTGAATTATCTCATTTATCTAATAGTCTATAATATTTATGCGAAAAATGTGCATCGATTACGTAAATTTATATGTTATTACTAGAACTTTGAGGCCATAGAGATTATATAATCGTTTGACTTAGAAAACAAATCAGAAAAAATGTCGAGTCGAGCACAAACGATAAAAATAATTGTCATAAATAATTAAGAGAGATAAATACGATGGAGAGAGAGAGGGTGAGAGAGAGAGAGAGAGAGAGAGAGAGAGAGAGAGAGAGAGAGTGTGTGTGTGTGTGTGCGTGTGCGTGTGCGTGTGCGTGTGCGTGTGCGTGTGCGTGTGTACGTGTGTGTGTTGATTAAGAAAATCCTAAAGCTGTATTATCGACTAAATTATATAATTTTTGTATATCAAATCTTTTTCTTTTTCATAGATTCGAAAATTCTTTTCCAGGATTGAAGTGTATGTATTAATACGTGTTTATGAGATGGAATTTATGCTGAGAACGACAAAAAATTTCGAAATTGATATATTTTTTTACCATTTCTTACGAACGCTTTATCGCGACGAATTTGTTATATGAAAATTGACACGAACATGCGACTGCACGTATCATAATGTGCGTGAGATATTGATATGATAATATATAAATGACATATCGATGCGTAGATATGAAAACAGCTCTGGTGACTTCATCGGAGTTCAAGCTTCGCTTTAGGATCTCCTTAAGAGAGTGCAATATTTAAATATATAAAGTACACCAGAAAATCTGATTATCTGGTGATTGTAATTAATGCCATCTTCTTCAGTATCTTCTTTTCTATCTTAATTTGTATGTTCTTTTCTAACTTAATTTTATTCAGTTTGTGTATTTTTGCATATATAATATATAATCTGTTTGAGCTGATCTTACAAATTTTTATGTTTTAAAATATTATGTTTTAAATTTTTATGTTTTGAAATCATTGGCTCTAGTGCGAAAAGCTGCGATCAGTTCACAACATTTGCTGTCGACACCTTTTTTGCAGAGATCACATTCACAGATTGGTTCTCGTGGTTGTCGACGATAACATTTGGGAGGACATGGGGGTGGCTTTGTCTCGCAACAGCATGGAGCATAAGGATCCTATAAATTATTGCAATTAAAGAATTTAATCAAAGAACAAAATAAGTCAGGGACACGCAAAAATTTTGCGAAACACACAAAATTAATTAAATTTTTGATTAATTTTAAATAAAAAATTAGAATATATATATGTTAATATGGAACATTTTAATCAAAATTATTAGGTCTATAAAAATGATAAGAATTTATTTCACATGTATATCTTTTTCATTTTATCTTTTTCACTCTGTCTGTATTTAAAACTTTGTATTAAATAATATGTAGTCTAATTCATCATCTTTTTTTTAAATTAATTTTGATTAATCTCTTTCGTGAGTTACAGTTAATTTCAATTATAAGACATATTTCTTACACAAAAGGGACAATGGACTTATTTATTTATGATTTATAATGCATAACAATAGTGCAGAAAATTGTTTAATAAATTTATGAAGAAAAAGTTCATGTTTTTCTAATAATCAATTTAGAAAATATGATAATATCAGCATACTTTTGATTTTTTGTTTTATACCTGCATTTTTATGTAACAACATGAAGGACAAATTTGACTAGGAAGTATGTATGGTTGTTTCTCCGTACAAGGTGGACCTATGTCAGTATCTTCTTCAGGTTTCTCTGGTTTACATCTCTTTTTCGGTTTTCTTTTCTTGGAAGGAGGACACATTGAATAAAATTTCTCTGTACCCCATTCTACTCCTAATTGTACTGTACAAATAACTTAAGATAATTTTTTTCTTAATTTTTATAAAATACTGATTAGAATATTATTAAATGCATATATATAACATAGAATATAATATATAATGTGTAATATATTTGATTGATTTTATATTAAGAGTTTGTAAGATCATTGTGTATCGATTATTTTAATGTGAGAAAATAAATTTACCGTAATCGAATAATTGTTCTAAAATATTCTCTTGGGATGTATCATCCGTCATAATGGGCGAAGATAAAGATTAATTTTATTCCAATTTTGATATTATGTAAAAGTATAGCAATCATGATCATTCACAATTCATTTTCATGTACGTATTATTATTAACATTATCAGTCATTTGTGACAGATGAAATGTCTATCACATATTCTCAAAAAGACAAGTTGCAAATTTCAAGATATTTAATATTTTAATGAGGACTTGATTAGATGGCATGAGCTTGTGCATATTTGAGCGAATTTAGCGGCGAGTTAGATTGCGTATATTGAAGTATAATTTAGAGGTGATAAATAGTTTATTAGATGTGAAACTAAGAGAAGAGGAAAAGAATAAGGAAACGGAAAATAATAATAATAGGAAATGTAATGTATAATAGAATCGAGAGAAGAGAGAAAACGATAAGTTAAGAGACGGGGAAAGAAAGGAACAAAATTTAAGTTAAGCCAAGAAGAGATTGGAAAATTTAGGAGAAGGAGGAACGAGAGAAGAGGTAATTGGGAAGAGGTAAAGGTTGGAAATTGAATCCGGATTTCTTGTAAGCTATTAGACCACCAAGGCCTTGGATTCAAGTTCCGGCCGAGGTAATATTTTTCGCAATAAATTTATTAATAGTTTCAACATATTAACATATTAACATATTAATTAATTAATCTTTATAATGATGCTTGATGGTAGCATCAAATTATTAAAATTACTTGTCAATTTATTTCGCGATTACTAGAATAGTTTAATTGCATTTATAAGTCCGGAAAAACAATTCGGCGTAATAGGCATTTTCTAGTATTGATTGTGTTTCTCACATGTGCGGTCTAAAATAAAGATTCTTAATATTGTTTAACAATATTTATTATTATTTAAACCTATTCTAAAAACGCGCGTCTCTCATTCTTTTACCATTCGAGTAAGCCGCATACTTAAGTTTTTTACATACTGTTACTCCAGCTGCGTTATTTACTTAGATGGCGTTAGCGCACAGCAAGTTTCATCATTCCTAAATCCCGGGCATCATCCCCGGCAATGGAAGAGTTCATATGAATGAGCTTGATTGATTTTTACCTGTGGATTTAACCAATGTTTAGGCAAATAGACCCGCTTTGCCGATTTGAACTCGCCCATTTACACCCATTCATTGTCAAGGGATACGCTTGGATATGCATCTGTGAAATCAGTGTAAAATCATTGCTATTATTTTGTCGTATTGACATATTATTTCTCTTAGGAAGCTTGTTACGTTCTGAAAACGGAGTGACTATTACAAAAGTTAACAAATTCAGGTATGGAAGTTATAAATATTTTAGTAAATTCGCTATTACTTTTGTAATTTTCATCTTGTTTTAAAAACGATAATAAAGCTCGATCTCACCAATTCTGATTAAACTAATCGGTCGATTAAATTTTAGTATTGCCAACTACAGATTTGTTCGCGTCGCATGCTCCTATTTCTTTCAATCGTAACTTCTACTCACTCAATGCGCTCGTAGAGTGAGTAGGAATTATGATAGAAACATAGACATATAGCGTTTTCTCAGCTCGACCGAGTTTGCATTAACTTGCATTGAAGTAATGATGTTTCGTGCTCTCCTATTGGTAGAGCGTGTAACGTCAACCAATAAAAAAAGAATTTTTTAACCCAAGTTGGTGCAAACTCGATCGGGCCGAAAACGCTAATAATATCTTTCATAGAGCTTATACTACTAGAGAGAGAATGATCTAGCCAACCAATGAGTGGAAAGTATGAGCAAGATCTGAGAGAAGATGTATTTCTATCCTGCTCAGTAACTTTTCTTCTTTCTGCGCATGTGCCAAAAGAGGATAGAAGAGGATAGAAAGATATTTCTGTTCTTTAGATCTTGTTCATAGTTCGACATCCGTATTCCCACTCCAGTAGTATAAGCTTTATGGTATTTCTAGACCGAGCTTTGTCAGAAATTTGGAGAGTTGGGGATAACCCTCATTTAGAAAAGGCACGCACTCATGATTGAGCCAGAGGATCGATTCTGTATCTTGAAATGAGGTAAAAATTACAAAAATGAGCGAATTTACTAAAATACTGATTATTTCATTGGTCAATACCTAGTAAATTTGCTCGCTTTTGTAATTTTCACCTTGTTTAAAGATATAGAATTGACTCTCAAGTGCATTCTCTCTCATACATGCGCGAAACGAAAGAGAAGTATTTTGAAGTATTGCTAGATTCACACTGAATCCGATGTGCGTCGTATGACGTTCTGCAACCAATCAGAAAATAGAATTTTATTTCGTATGGACGATACGAAGCAAAAGCCTGTTTTCTGATTGATTGCAGAACGTCGTATGACGCACATCGGATCCAGTGTGAATCCAGCATATGCGAACAAATCTTACAAAACTGAAAACATAACCTAATTATCTGGCAGCTGTAAACGATGTGATAATAACAGTACAGGTCCTTATTAGTCGAAAAATTTCATTTGCGAAAAAGTTATACACATGTAAGTACTCGGCGTCAGAAAAGGATGTTTTCAAGTTTTGTAGTTGATAATACTGAAATTTAATCGATCGATTAGCTTAATCGGAGTTGGTGAGACCGGGCCTAAAGTTTTAAATCGTTCTTCTAGCATTCTACACTGTTTTCTCTTGATTGTATGCACTAGTGCACGTTGAAGGGTCTGTTTTTTATTGCTGTACTTTCTGAACTAGTACACACAATGCAATAAGTTGAAATGAAACAAATATACATTTCACCAGTCCAGAGTGCAGCAATGAAACAGACCTAAAGTTGTTAAACAATATATACATTGATTTAAATTGTGAATGTTTGAAAGATTGTAGAAGTAAAATTCAAATATTCGAATTACAAAATATATTTTACTTAATAGCTAAATAGCACAATAAAATGTATTAAGGATTTCATGCAGGATTTAATTCGTTTCTATATTTTTATTAAACGTATAGTTTTATGTCGATTTGTGTACAACGGTTTTAAAGTGCACTGAGTGTGTACCAGCTCTGCCAGTGAAAAATGCTAAAAGAGAAAACGCTATAAGTATTTATTAGTCATCACTGAAACGTAACTTGTATTTACAGATATTGACATATCTTCTAGTAGAAGATCCTCAGCAACCAGAGTCGATTGGTACACTGTCGACAATGTCGTCTGACATAATTGATGAAACCGTCGAGTTAGACCCAGTAACTGGTTTATATTGCACGATGTCTTTGTTTACCAATGTCACAAATATCGCTGAACTACGCGAGAAACTCATTACCGAGAAGCTTGATTGTTGCATGGTAAATGTTGCAATCATTGTAGATACTTTTCAAGCGGTGGTAGCTGCCAATAAAGCCGCCCTCAATGCTACGCGAAAGCAACTGGTTACAAAAAACATAAATACAGAAGTCTTATTTAGCATGTCTTTGTCAGATAGCATAATTTGTGCCTTGGATGAGTTTGGTCTTAGTGATGACGTTAAAAATCTCCTGATGATAATGATACACAAGGACGGTGAAGAAAAAGCTATGCTGGAGAAGATCTCAGAAAATGTTAAGGGAAACAAAGTATCCATTTCAAACCTGAAGAAATTTACAGATGAAAATCATGTTAAAGAAACTTACGCCATCAATGTTATCGAACAGCAGAATTCTAATATTCTTGATATTATTGTTTCGAAGATTAGTGGCTCTACATTATTTCCACCAAAGAATCGAAATAGAAGGCGTATATCATATGAACAATGTGAACAGAAGAGTTGACAATATGCTAATACAGAATAATTATTAACGATAAGAAAAATTTTATTTGGAATATAATTTAAGTAAACAGTGGATATGTATAATATATGTGAACAACCCACATATTTTAATTTTTTTTTATCAGTTAATTATGTACCCTGCTAATCCACACACATATATATAACAATAACCAGTTTTTTTATGAATTATTTCGGAAAATATTACATGTGTCTCCCATACCAATAACAATTAAATATTTGTGAAAAAATATCATGTATATAATATATATGGAGAATATATATGATCAGCAATTAAATCTATGCGATTTTAATTTTTCTAATACCAAAATATTGCAAAATATTGACGCAAATTTCTAACATTGTAGCATCATTAGGCTCGACTGAACTTTTGAACTCATGATTCTGTTATTAAAACAATTCCCTCATCATCTCTTCATCATATTCTTCGACATCTTCTCTGCAAACATAAAAAATTCATAATAAATATCATTGATCTGTTTAGAATTAATTTATAAGTCAGAACTTCACAGAACATTCTACTAGGATTAATATTTAGGCCTAGGATTAAATTTTAAATCAGATTGTTGTAAACTGGCTGCAGATAAAAAAAAAGTGTATCACGGGGAGAAGCTTGGTAGGAAGGAAATGTGTCAGTTGGCAAATACTTGTGTGTTGTTTTTTTTTCTTCCTTTTTTTTATTCACTCATAAATAAGGCCAAAGATGCGTAGAAAACAATCGTTATATCCGCGAGGACACGTTACGCGTCAGATCCTGCGGAAGCGAAGTAGTAGATTCAAAGACAGCACCCCTTAAACGCACACTGAATTCGTCGTTAGTGCTTTAACAGTTTATTACGAGTACCTTGGCAGATTGCACATCTCGCAAACTGCTAAATCCGCGGCATTGAGAAAAGTGCAATGAGAACAGGTCCAGAGAGCTTGGTCGGGTGGTGGATTCGCGATCGGCTCGGTACCGACGCCTATTCCTCCACTGCCTTCCGCGGTTACGGAAGGCAACGTCCTTGAGCTGTTACCAAAAGACGACATTTGCGGAGGACGTGACGACGTGGAGGTCACGGATATCAGTTGCTCCACCGTCGCCCAATGCTCCGATTGGGCCCACTCCAATGCTTTTTGCTTGTCCTTGTTGCGGATAGCTTCGAGCAGTGGCAACATATGGTCCTGTAAAACAAAATACATATTTATTAATAATTATCGGCAATCATTGAAGCGTTATATAGCAGAGTAGAGCAGTTGTTTTAAACAAAAGACTCAAATTTAATTCTAAACGTACCTTTTCATACGCTTGACGCTCATTTTTAGCATCAAAAAAGATCACGTGATAAAATTTGAATATCAAAAGTCAATTTTGATCACTTGATCTATTTTGCTAAATGAGCATCAAGCGTTAACATGAAAAGGCATTTTTAATCTTATACATATGTACAAGAAAATCTTGAATATAAAAATTTCACTGTAACAAAAATATGAACAAGTAATCGAGATAATTGAATAATAAATTGAATGAAATTGAAGTGATTGATCTACTGAATATATTGCTACTTTATAGATAGAAAAATCAAAGCAAGAAATATACCTTCATTGGATACATATCCATAGTAGCGATAAAAAGGAGCAAGTGAAAATCAGAAGTTGCCTCCAGAAATTGATCGCTGTTAAATTGCTGCATGTAAGTGCACAATGAATTGAATTCCTGAACTTGTCCATCGACCTGCCTGAAATAAAGATGTTTATATGAATAATTTTATTAACTATACTCATTTATATACAATGTATTTGTCTGTAATACCTGTTCTCCACTGGAAATGGAGTAATGTTATCATCCGTGAAAAAGGTGAACTGTGGAGTAAGTGGAGTGGACGCAGGTACATCTACCAATAAATATTCTACTGGCAAAGGTCTTGCTAGTCTTGTTACCTCATTTCCATACGTATCTTTCTCCTAAAGAAAAAAAAAACATGTTCACATTATAAAAATCATATTCAATCAATATTGTTTCAATGAATAAAAGAATTACACAAAAAACAGCATATATATTTATTTCTAAGTAAATATGGCGTTTTATTAGAAATACAATTTTGATTTGTATAGATGAGTAACTCCCTTTTTCTTTATTAACTTTTGCAGTTTAGAATTTAATACTTTCAATTATCTATGCATTAGAGAGTCAATTGTGTATCTAGAAACAAGATAAAAATGATAAAAGTGAGCGAATTTATGAGAATATTAATTTTATTGACATGTAAAGTAAATCTGCTCACTCTTATCATTTTCACCTCATTTCAAGAAACACAAGCGACTTCCTGATAATGGAGTCATTGAAGGAGGATGTTAAAAAGAGGCCGATTTTTGTCTATAAAGGTGTAAGTAAAAGGAATAGTGTTTTTTTTTTTTATAGATTTTGATTTCCTGAATACGATAATGTTAATAAAAAGTTCGGGATCGATAGGAAACACCTTGAAAATTGAGCATGAACATGATATATTTCAACAAATTTCAATATTTTTATACATACTTTTCAAGGTGTTCCCCAAATGTCACGAACTTTTTAATAATTTTAATAATTTTAAAAAATCAGCCCTTTTTGAAGAATATTAAAAATGATTCGATTTTTGTCTAAAAGAATATAAGTAAAAGAAATAGTGTTTTTTGTTGATTTTGACTCTCTGAATATAATAAAATTATTAAAAAGTTCATAACATTTGCGAACACCTAGAAAAATAAGTAAGAATATTGAAATTTATTCAAATATATCATGTTCATACCTTTATGGGCAAAAATCAGCCTCTTTTTAACATCCTCCTTAGACTACTTGTTAAGAAAATTATTTTGTGGATCATCGCGCATAATAATTTAATTATATTTTTTCCTCTAAATATTTTTTTCCATGGATATTTATCGCGGCTTGCATTCCCGCTATAAAGGCAGGTCCACAATCCTCCACGATGCGACGCGAGGACGCATGCACGTGATTGGCGACGCTGTTGTCACGTGGCCAATTGCCACGCACACGACGAAAGGACAAAGCGGACACGACGACGACGACGACAGTGCGATCATGGCGACGACGGCGGCGAAGAAGGGTGATTAGTTAGTGACGAAGTGGGGTAGAGGAGAGAACGACGGATTGTAACGGAACCAAACGAAGAGAACCGAATCGCAGTACGACGAGGAGGAAAAAGGGGGCGGGAGAGGCAGCAACGAGAAGCGCGTAAGCGACGAGCGCGCGCCGCGGTGTGTGTCGGTCGGTCGGTTGGTCGGTCGGTCGGTCGCCATGCTAGTGGTTAGTTTAGTGAACTAAACATCATGATGTGGCAGAACGTTCGTATGAGCAAAGGCCCGTAGCCACGCCGCGTTAACCGGCGCGCCGTCGTTATGTTATTCACAGTAACACTCACGACGTTCGATAAACACGTATAAACACGTAACGCGAAAAGTACAAAAAAAAGTATATATACATACACACGCCACACGTAGAGAGAAAGAGAGAGAAAAAGAGAGAGAGAGGGGGGGGGGGAATACACGTATACGGATTATAGAATAAAGAGAGAAATAAAGTAGAGAAACCCGTATAAGCGACGACTACGACTACGACTACGACGACGACAACGACAGTAACGACAGTAACGGCGGCGGCGACGACGACGACGACGACGACGACTCTTTTGCCTTAAGAAATAAACGACAACGACAGCGGCGGCTGCGGCAGTATTAGCGGTGGTGGTGGTGATTGTTCTCTTGTAGTGGTAGTAGTGGTGGTGGTTGTTGTTCGGTGCGAGCGAAACCGCGCGCGGCGCGACGTTAGGCCCGATGTAAATCAAAGTTGCCGAATTGAACGTACGTCGTACAGTGAGCATCGCCGCGGCACGCGCCGCGAGTGACGAGTGCCAACGGTCAGCCTCCATAACGCGGCAGGGGAGACGTTTGCGAGACGTATACACGGTACGGAAGCATTTGTAGAATCCTGCCGTATAGTCGAACGGGGAAGGAGAGAGAGAAAGAGAGGAGAGAGAGAGAGAGAGAGAGAGAGAGAGAGAGAGAGAGAGAGAGAGAGAGCGAGAGAAAATCGGAGCGTCTGAACATGTGTGTAAGTGTGTCGAGCGGCTGTACGTATGCGTATGCGAAGAAGAGACGGAGATGGACGCGCTAGCCGAAAGAGAGAGAAAGTGTGTGTGTGTGTGTGTATACACACATATATATATATATATCGTAGCATGCGCGCGCGCACACCCGGAGACAGGGGGAAGAGCGAGACAGACGGAGCGCGCGCATAACATTCCCGCGCGCGGAATCCGTCTGACACGCAGTAGTAGTCTGAGAGCGGTTTTCGATCCGCGTGTTCGTGGCTCGCCGCGAGTCACAATCGGTAGAGGGTTGATTATCCGGCGGCTGGTATAGGTAAACCCGACGACGTATCCGCCGTAGTTACTAGTTTACGTAGGGGAGACTATGTGAACTGGCGCCTCTTCGTTTACTAGTCACTGCCGCTGCTGAGTGCTTGACGGCGGCGGCCGCGGTAGTTGCGGTGTGTGCTTCGTCGACGATCGACGCGACGTTGTAGTGCCCAGTCGTGAGCAGTCGTGAGGAAGTGCCTCTCCGAACACTCGATACGTTCCTCCTCCTCCACCCCGTTCACCCGTCCTCCGGCGCCTCCGATCCGAGGACTCATCGCCCCTCCTCCCCGCGACCGCTTTGTCCCTACCTCCACGCTCCCGTCTTCCTCCTCTTCCTCTTCCTCCTCCTCCTCCTCCTCCTCCTCTTCCTCCTCCTCCTCCTATTTAGCGCGCGCGAGAGGCGCGACGTCGCGCTCGAGGAATGGCGAGTCCCGTGCTCCGCGAAATCTCCCCGCGACGGTTTTGGCGGGATTTTCGACGCATGCGCGCCGAGTGTCGTTCTCTTTCTCTCACACACGCGCGAGCGAACGAACTTTGTCAGTGGCTCCTCTCGGAGATCTTTCGTTGCATAATGACTTATCTATCGCCGCTGATACCGCGCCGGATACCGAGAACCTACCTAACCCCCTTTCTCGTGAGTTTCGTCCGCACGCGCCCGGATACTCCGCGAAACATGGCAAGCGCGCGTCTGGCAACCCCGGGATCGTCGTTGTCGTCGTCGTCGTCGTCGTCTTGGTCTTCGTCAGTGACATCGTTATGCGCGATCTCGTAGTTTGCTGAATCTAAAGTACGACGGTTCTCTTTAAATTGTTTAAAATCAATCTTGCTCCAAAAGAATGAAAAACTCAAGTAAAACACATAAATCATACTAATGTGAGGACATCATCATCATCTTACTTGTTACTTATAAATTCATTTTTAAGTATCAAATGACAAAATCATGATGATGTTTGATATTGTGACTCTGTTCTACTCGGGAATCTAGATGGTTATTCTTCGCTATGGAGAGTGGTGTCGTAAATTGTTGCTTTTCGAAGAACGAGTCTCTTATTTACACATTCGCGCGTATGTTTGCACAAACGCGCTCGGGAACGGCTGTGAATATCACGCTCTGAAGTGAGACTCCGAAAAAAACTTTTATGAAAGATTGACAGTACGGCTCCCGTTAAGATCGGAGCACAGACCTTTCGCATAACGCATAATACATCAAGCATAAGAAATCAACCAATCAGAGTCTTTTATTTCATAGAAAGAAAGGAAATGAAGGACATTGATTGTCCATTTTCTTATGCAAGATTCTGTGCTTCTGCCCTTAACAAGTTTCATTCGGAAAAGAGTGATTCGGTGTATTCCTTGTAATATTTTTCGAGATAATATAGACTTGTTTTTTTTAGCTGAATTTCTTGCACCTGTTTTTTCTCCAACATAAACGAAGAATACAAGATGTCTCATCCTGCGTAGTCAATTAGAAAGTTTGCCCAAAAAGTTACAATATAAAGCCGCTATTAGAAATTTACGATCAATAAGAAATTTGCTCCAAAATTATTCGATCACATCATTATATATAATAATAAAACACTATTTTTATATATGAGAAAAGATGAAGTGTGCAAATTCTGCTTTCATAATGAATAGTTCTATTTACACGAGCAGAAAGGGAAAATCGGAGTATTAAAGATTAGAGAGATATTGAGTTAACTTGAACCATCGAATGGTTCCGTCCAAAGGTTAATGTTCTCAGGTTAAAGTGTTTCGCCGGAAGTAAGATTTAATTAGCATTTATTATTATCGACACCGAGTTTTCAACGAGAATCATATCTTACTGTCTTCGAGTGCGCGTTCAAAGACCAGCAGTCTACAAAAACCTGTATGATTAGGCTTCCTCTATTATCAAGTTAAATTATCAAAAATCGAGTGATGACAAAACAAAAAAAAAGTCCAACGTCTATTAATGTAGATTAACTTTAATCTCGGTTCAAGTAACTCTTCATCTTTTTCTTAAAATTAAATTACATTCGTAGGAACGTGCATTAGAAAAAGATGAAAAGAGTAAATAAAATCAGGATTAAAGTTAATCTACATCAACAGAAATGCGACGTAAATCTGAAAAAAATCAAATCCGACGTTTCCAATGATCACATCGCAATGCGCATTATTCAAAATAATTAAAAAAAATTATTCTCGCTTAATTTCTTATTTATAGAACAAAGGGAACGTCGACGGTTATGGAAATTAAAATAGCTCGTTTACATAAATATCGAAATTGGACGTGGAGATAAGTATCGCCGCCATCAATTACCTGCTAGAACGCAGGCGGTGTGTTTTGAGACGTAATTTTATCGTGTTCAGCAGTGTGTTATCACACACGTGTTGCGTACCGTAATTTACATTATACGGCACTTATCAAAAATTTTCCAAGAGCGCACGGTCAAGGTGATCAAGGCGACGGGGAAGGGACGTGAAGGGAAGAGAAGGGTTAAGGGCGAGCGGCATCAGCGGGCGAGCTCAAGTCGTCGGTCGAGCTTTCCCGCCTTTCAAATATCCCGGACACGAATCGAATTCGCGCGGTGAGTGTGTTTACCCGTCGTCACGTGTGCGACGACAACGACGACGATGACGACGACGACGACGACGACGACGACGTATCGATTCTTCCGAAACGCGCATTGAAGCCTTCAAGGCGAGCAAAACGGACGAGTGGACCAGTCGCGTCGACGTAAAGACGTAAACAATACTGTGAGAGACGTCGTCGTTTGTACCCGTGCGCATACGAAAGAGAAAAAGAAAGAGAGAGAGGAAGAGAGAGAGAGAGATACACATTTGTTAACGGGGAAAACGTCGATGACTCGATGACGCACGAGGTGCTATATGGGTCAAGGAATATAGGCCGACATGACGGCGGCGGCGGTTTCGCGTCGCGCGTTCTTGAAACCGGGAAAGTCCACGGCGACGACGGAACGGCAGACGAGTCTACGGTCGAGTCGGCGCGTGGAAACCACGTAGTTAGAGAAGGATTCCGCGCGAGAAAAGCGACGATGTGATAGACTACAAAGCGGAACAGAGAACGGCGCGCAGCGGCAGAAGAGAGAAAGAGAGAGAGAGAGAGAGAGAGAGAACGACGGACGGTACCGAGTGTTTTGTTTACATACGCGGTTGACGGCGTGACCTTTTACAAGACTCCTTTCCCGCGTGAATCGGCAGTGCCTTGCGTGACACGCGTTATCGAAGTTGGTTGGTTTTGCCAAAGGCAAAGCTTCGTTCTCTGTAAGACGTGCGCGATTCTCTCGCTTTTCTATCTAGAGTCAGTCGAGAACCGCGTTATATATGTGAAAGAGAAAATTCGCGATATCCTTCCTAGTGGCGAAAGCGGCATCAGCGCGATTAAACGTCGTCGCGATCTGTTTCAGGGATACGTAAACTGACGCTACGCCTCGCAATTCGTGGCGTGATGTTACTCAAACAGGTAAATCTCTCTTCCGGAGTAAACTGAGCGGGATGTGAATGGAAAAAACGGTGGATAACATTTTGACGACGACGGGAATGGTTGACGAATTGCGGCAGATATTTTCTCATCTTTTAACTTAATCGCAGTTTAACTCAATGAAAAATTTGATTTCATTGATTTCGTTGAGTCTAATAATAGAGAGAATAAAGAAGAAAGGGCTTTACGCATGTGTCTTGTGTGTATGAGCACTGTGTGTTTCCGCGTATGTTTGTGACGAAATTGCGTAGGAGGATACGCACGTGTACGTGTGCGATTACGCTTTCAGATGCTGGATCCGAGCGTATTAACGGACCTGGAGGAGCTGACGCTTTGCGGTTGCTGCAAGCAGAAGTACAATGACGTAGAGCAATGCCCCAAGTATCTTAGCTGCAAGCATTACTTCTGCTTACGGTGCATCGAGAGCAATCTGCTGAAGGGACGCGATCTGCAGTGCGCGCATTGCTGGAAAACGACGGATTTGGGTAACCAAGGCGCGGACGCTTTACCGACTCACTCTGCTCTACTTGCCTTGGCCAACAATTTGTCGCGTCTCAAGATCACGACAAACAATACGTCCGGCAAACCTGACAAGGAGAGGAAGGTAATTTTGTCTGACTTTTTTTCCTACACAGAAAAAAAAATGTTTGGTTGAGTTAACTAGAATTCTGGTAGAAAAAAAAAATGAATGATCTAGAATTCTAATTCAATCTACAAGATTTCTGGTTAGTCTATTAAAATTCTAGTTGAAATAACAACATTTAGTAGATTTAGTAGATTCAGAAATATAGTAGGCTTAATCGAAATTCTGGATCGTTCATTTCCTACCTGAATTACAGTTAATTTAATCAAACATTTTTTTCCGTGTAGTGAAATTTTTCCTTGAAATCTCACTGGTCGACTCGATATTTTTCATGCTTGAAATATTCGGCGATAATATACTGAGAACAGATAGAGACTGTGAGAAAATGCATGAAAAGTCACTTCAAATATAACTAGATAAGATGACTATTGTAAAAGAGGAGCGTGACCTGTTGCGATTATCTATTTGGAAACGATATGAAAAGTATCTTGGATGTACATATATTTAATTTTGAGAAAATAAAACAGGAAAATTGCATTGTCAGTGCTATATATCAAGATGAAACACAATTGGAGTAAAGTCATTTTCTCATACGATTTGTTTAAATTCAAAATATGCTGTCGAGATGTCTCTCGTCCATTTCAGTAGACTAATTTTAATATCGATTTAATTTACTTTTCATCTTTTTTTAATGCCCGTTTCTACCAATGTATATTAATTTTAATAATTTTAATCTCAATTCAAGTAACTCTTCACCTTTTTCTAAAAATTAAAAAATTCTAAGAATTAAAAAAAAATAAAGAACAAATTGAATCAAGATTGAAGTTAATCCAAGAACAAGAAAAAGAATAAAAAGTATGTTTAAATCGAGATTAAAGTTAATCTACATTGATAGAAATGAACATCTGTCAAATAAAATTGAACCGCGTGGACGACAAAAGATTCGGCCGCCACAATATGTAGCGTGCGGTGAGCTTTTGTTGAGAGGGACGAGATAACCGAAAGCGAGACGCATGTATGAAGCCATATCGAGAAGGAACGCTCCCGGCAATAATAGGATGATGTTGTAAGAATGTCATCACTTCTCTTCCCCCTTCCCCTCCCTCCCCAAGTGAGGAAATTTCTGAATCTGCAGTAATTTTATATATCTTATCCCTTAAAATGATCTCGAGATGTCCCTAGGAGGAATAACAATTTCATATTGCAACACTTCCTTTCGGCGGGTCGTGAACCTTCGTGTTTATCGTGTAAACACGTGGACGGTTTCTCCTCGTGAATCGATAACGCTTAAATATTTTCGCAGAGCGAGAACTGTCACACACACGGAATGCCGCTAGCATTGTGGTGTGCGACATGTTGCACGGCGCTTTGTAGGGCGTGCGCAAGCCCACAGGATCACCCGGGTCATCAGATCAAATCGCAAACCGATGCCAAAGAACAGCTCATATCCGACGTAAGTCCCTATTTATTATTTGTTTTATTTATTTCACGATAAAAACTAAGCGAGAGAGAGAGAGAACTAATGACGTCAAAACGCGTCTGTAGGTTCAATTGGAGTTAGTCACCGTGGGTAAACTGTCGACGGAGATTCAAAGACTGGCCGTGCAGCAACGTGAGTTTCTAATAAAGGTGCTGGAAGCGTGTGTGACGTTGAAGACGCATGTAGAGACGGATCTGCAAAATGGCTGGAGTCACTTTCCCGAGATAACGGACGCGCGCGAGACTCTAGGCAAGACGAGGGCTGGACTGCAGATGAGCGAGACTCCGGGAGATGTCTACAGTCTGCACTCGCAGTTAATTCTCGAGAAACAAAGGTTGCAGTCGAAATATCAAGAGATGATGTTACAGTGTCAACTAGATGATCTCATTGGAAACTCTGGAGTGATATTTGACTTCGCCTTGCTAAAGCAGGCATTGGCGGGGATACATACGGGAGATCCGATTGTCCCTCAAGGAAATGGCGGTCGCTTGCCGAATCATCTCGCGGCTTCGCATAATCCGATTTTGTTCCTCGCGAATTATTGCATGTCGCAATTGTATACACGTCACGTTGTTAGCAAGCAACAGCACATGCAGAACGGCTCGATGGAGTATCATCATTCAAGTATGATGCCACCACCGCCCCAACAAGCACCATCCGTTCACGTTCATCAAGGTCCACCGGCGCCACCATCGGGACCGGGACCCAACCAAGCTCCCCAGCAGCTTCTCATTCCACCCGGTTCGCCGTCCGTTAAACCCGTACCACCTGCACCGCCCAACGCCATGTTGCATCCGCAGCAACAGTCAACGTTCATGCCTGACGCGGTCGGCACTGGCGCCGGTGGCGGTAGTCTAGTGACCGTCCACTCGTCCCCGCAACCGCCGTCCAACGCGATAACGGCGACGTTGACGCGAGGTCCTGCGAATCCTTATCCTCTATACTACTTCAACATCGAGGTGAATGGTTCACCGCACGGGCGCATCGTGATCGAAGTGCGACCAGACGCGGCACCGAAGATGGCCAAGAACTTCAGCGTGCTGTCAACGGGAGAGATCGGATTCGGGTACAAGGGATGCACGATATTCCAGTGTTGGGAAGGCGAGTCCGTGATCACAGGTGATTTCGAGCTTAACAACGGCCGCGGTGGACGCAGCATATTTGACGACGGTTATTTCATGCCGGACGATACCAAGTTCCCGGCGGTTAGGGGCGCGGTGGGTATGAGGCGGACGCAGAAACGACACGACAACCTCGGCATGGTCGGCTCGCAATTTCGCATAATCCTGCAGGAGATGCGCGGCTTTACTGGCATCTTCGGTCACGTTGTCGAGGGATTGGAGCTGGTGGAGAAGATATCTACGTACGGCGATCAGACCGGCAAGCCTACCAAGAATATTCTAATCACGAAATGCGGTAAATTGTAACGTTTATGATGTCGCTGTCGCGCGGTTTGTTGCAACGCGGGGTAATTCTCCGAGAAATGAGTATACACTCCGTATATATGTATATATACATATATATATATATATATATGTGTGTGTGTACATATGATATAACGCCGTATACAACACGCGTTTTCTTGCTCTAGATAACCGAAAGAAAGTCGCCACGGTATCCCCGACTCCGCGTGCGTTCGCGGCACGAGAGAAACCTATAATACGTAAGAAGAAATGTGCAAAAAGAAATCACGTTATACACGTAATTGTCCGGCGACGGGAGACGATTATTGTTATTATTATATCCGCCGCGCGTATATCCGCTCGGGGAAATCGTCGCGATACGTTTATTAGCTCCGCGAATCCTCGAACGTTCCGTACGAGTCATGCAACTTAATTAACTATTAACAATAGTGTCTAAAGATGTCGAATCTATTTTTAAAACATGGGCGTGCGCGAGAAAAAGAAAAAGAGAAAAAATCCATATTTTGCTATTGACTGGGAATCGATACGAGATTCTGCTAACAATAACGACGATGATCGATATACACAGAGACACACATACACACATACGTACCTCAGAGATCGACCGTGATATCGATACGACTTCTCTAGCTGATACGACATATTTGTTTTTTTAGGGAGAGAGAGGTCTGACCGTTTATTTTGGCTATTATCGGCATTAACTCTTCTACGACATTGTAGTTCATAGAGCGCGTATCGCGCGTTGAACGTGATATAATGGAGAAAATAATACCGCGCGCGAATCGCGGCGGACGGTTCTCCGGCCGGCTGCGAGCGCAGCTAATGTTTTAGGTCATAGATAGCGAATAATAAAAGGATGAAAAAAAAATGCACACGTAGAATAATCTGGGAATTTAAGTGTAGCGAACTGTCGGAGGGAACCGAATCGTGTGTTATGTACACGACATATTTACGAAGAAACGAAAGAGACAGATCTGCACGCGAGCAAACATTCGACTCTTTCGATTCTTGTTCTTTTTTTTTTTTTTCGCCGACTTTCGCGACTTGCTGCTAAAGTTGTGAATCGCGCGATTCCATACGCGGGTCTCTCGTTTAGATATTTTAGCCGAGAGAGCAAGAAGAGATATCGGTATAGTTAATCACGTAGGAGGGCAGTTTATGGTTCGTCGGACACGGCGTGTCGTTCCGTTCCGTTCCAGGGGTGCGAGGAAAAAGAGCTAAAAGGGAAGAGAGAAAAAAAAAGAGATATTCATCGCGCGCGCGCGTCTTGCGAAGAAGAATCTTGCGATACCGCTGCTCGGATACTTGCGACTCGAGCCCGTTCCCTTTTCGTTCTTTGCGAACTAGCGAACCGTCAATGAGTTATCTGTATTTAAGATTAGATCTCAATACGTCGCAAATGTATGCAAGGCCTAAATACTACTATGTAAACCGTAAGCCTCGTGTCGTCTAATCGGGAAACGAAAGGGAAAAAAAATGATGAAATGTGCGGATATATATAACGTATATATATATATATATATATTATATTAAACGAATCATTCCTCGATGCTATATATCGAAAAATACTACGATATAATGTAACTGCGTTATAACTACTCGTCTAAATCCTCGTAATGAAGTCCCATGCGTTATTATCGTTACATACAATGTCACACACGCACGCGTGTACGCGGGGAGTGGACGCGTAATCTCTCCCTCTCTCGCGAATACACGTGCGTGCGATATATTTCCACGCGCGTACAAGGCAAGGCACACTCACGCGTAATAAGCAGAAATTGCACGCCCTCGCGTCGTCGCGGATATGCCTTCTCGAAGAAAAGCCTCATTCGATGTTGAACTTGAAAGTTTTAACACTTGTTGATTAGCTGATTAAAAAAAAAAAAGAAGAACGCGTCACACGCGATCGACGTCGCGATGACTAACGTAATGCGTCACGTCGTCTTTAGGAATAAATAACTCGCTCCTGTACGATCAAGAGCGGAAATGCTGTCCGAGTCAAATGTAGCAAAAAATTGAACTGTATTTGTATCGAGCTTCTCTCTTCTCTAGAGAAGATGCCAGTAATTGGTTAGCTGGCCAGCTAAGATCTAGAGAAAGTTTAACGAGACTCATAGATAGAGAAGCTCGTTCAATTTGAAACAGTTCACGATCTCCTCATGCCGGAAAGCATTTTTGCTGTCGATTGCACATGTACAATATTGTATACACGACGACCGTAAGGGGGTTTGGGGAGGGGGGGGGGTTAGATGATTGTGTGTTCGAACGGATGGATGAATGAACGAAATCTCTTGTTTCGATCCCGAAACGGGAAAGACTCCGACAATTGTAACTCTTAGTACGTAATCGTAGACGCAATCGTAAAGAAAAGAACATATTGTATTGAAGCGAGTGAAGATCAGGCCCACCTGTACACGTACATATATACAAAATACACATATATATATATATACACACAGATACAGATACCTATGCGCGCGCGTATATATATACAAATATATAAACTACGTATATTTTTATGAACGTGATGAGGTAACAACGCATAGCTTGTAATATCGATTTTAACGACCGACCGATTTACCTGGCCCCTCGCGTGCGATTAAACGATTGAGCGGCTGTAAGACTAAGCACTTGGACAAGTTTTTTCCTCGCCTTTCTACCTCGCCATTATTTCCCTCCGTATCTCTCCTTTTTCTTCCGCTCTCTTTTTCTCTCTCTCTCTCTCATTCCTTGCTCTCGAGTTGCGATGATCATTGAAAACGCAAAGATCGTGATTTTTTTTTCAGGTTCGCGGTAATCACACCGTAGGAGCCATCATTTAAACGAATTTTATTATTTCATTATACATGTACGAAGTGAACGTTTATTGCTCCAACTTAAATGTATTTTTAATCAATCGATTTTTGAGTTATAAAACTATTCTCCTTTCATGTATTATAATTTGTTCATATCCTATATCTATATCTTAAGTTGCGACAAAATTGCGTAAATTCCAATAAATATTAAGCTGCGATAGACATATGTGAAAATTCGAAGGCACTCGTTCGATATACATGTATCATTAGATCCAAGTGATTCAAGAAAACTTAATCGAATAGAAAATAAAATCGATATGTTTGAACTTACCTTGTAGAAGACATCCGGAACGTATTGTTTATCAGTCGACTCGATCACATAGCCCAATTCCGGTGCGTCTTTTGTAGGAACCAAACAGCCATCTCGTACTAACGCCATGCATTGATTGGATACCTGATAGCCCTCCATGTGTACTTGATTCTTATCATCTCCTGTAATATTTCGAAGATATATATCTGATAAGCACTAATTTTGCATGGCGTTTATAGTAGAGATTTCATAATATTCGAAGGAAATATTGTTATTATATATTATTAGGTTGATAAAAAAATTCATTCTTTTTCTGTTAAAAAGAAATTTGCTTCCGTTACATGTAATGCAAATTTCAAGCAGGCAATTTAAAGCAGCAATTTAAAAATATTTAATGTTGTCAATGAAAATGAAGTTATAAGTAACTTAACTGTACTTATATAAAATTTCTTCTTAAAAATGCAAATTTATATAAAATATAATCAAAAATGTACTAAATTTCATGTACATGTACACGAATATATTTTTCGATTGGAGATACATTAAATTTCATGACATTTTTAATAGTGTATGTGGTTAGTGTTCTAGTATGACAGGAGGAATAAATTTTTTAATCAACCTAATATTTTCGAAACAAAAGGATACATGTAATGTAAGATTGAGACTTACCTGTGACGCAAACAGTTACAAATTTTGAGCCGAAATAACCATTAGGCGAGAAGCGGCAGGGGTTTGGGTACTGATTTTGAAAGTACCCAGCCATAATGCACTCTTGAGCGGATAGGAAATGACTTTCTATATTGCGGACATGTTTGACCTGATCGAATAAAACTAACAAAGTTAATCGCCGCACATACGAATTCGGTATTAAGAATACATTACACGAGGAATAAGAGTATATCAAATTACCGTTCCCTTCTTGACATCGTCGGCTATGAGGTCAGTGAAAATCCATCCGACTCTCCTCAGATTAAGTGTCCGGCCTAATTCCTCGACTAACGCTTCCCTCTCGTCCGGCAGAAGTCTTATCGTGTCTTTTGTACTTTCCTGACCAAAAAAAGAAAAAAAAACGTAAACGTTATCTTGGTACTTCGTTAACCAAAAGTGTATGTTTATAGATTTGTCGAAGATTGTACGAGCGCTATGTACCTGCGGTGGTTCGTATATGGCCGCAACGACTGCTCTAATTCCTAGCGGAACATCCGAATGCACTTCGTATCTTCCGTATAAATAGCCGATACGTTGGTGTCCAGTGCTGCGCCAATAATTAAGAAAACGTTCTACTAAACTAGCATTTTCGAACATGACGTTGTCCACGTGCCGATAAGTCTGGCGGTTCAGAGTGATTGAGTTCGGTTGGCATTTGCTGCAGATCCCTCGCGGCCACGGCGGATGGTCTTTGCAGCCAGTCTTTATACGGCAGCTTATGTCGTCTAATTGTATAAACTTGCCCCTGCGACAAATATATACGAGATACAGTCGAACATGTTTGTAATGTTTATAATTATTTCACAACATATTTCATACGTACCTATCAACTCCGGCAGTGAGCTTCCTGAGATACGAATGAAAAGACAGGTGCTTGATATTTTGTTCCTTCAAATAAATCTCGTCAAAAGGTTCCAGAGGTGAACAGTGAACGCAGCATCCTCTCGCTCCATGCCGACAACTGTAAAAATTAATTTTCATTTTTTACTTTGAATTATTAACTTTGAATTATTTAGATTACTTACAGTTTTTCGTCACGTTTACGCTGAATTTTGCCGTCCAGTTTCCATAATTGCTCATCGATATCGTTCTCAACTACATTCGGCAGAGATCGTGACGGACCAGACGAACGATTTGTAATTCCGTTTGCAGTGTCCATTGGGCCTGATTCTAAATTATACAGAACGATATAAAAGTCTGACGAACAAAAAAATGACTTATATCCATTCAATAACTTTTTGTAGTTTATAGCGTTAGATATAAATTTTCTTTACAAAAATTTATTTAGTGACTTAACCTTTATTACACACGACGAGCCATTCGTGTCCCCAATTAATTTTTAATGCTTATAAATACACAAAAATTATTAAATAATTCTTCATCTTTGAGAAAAATTTATAAGATCGTATATTTACAAAATTATATATAAATGTTATAATTAATTATTTGGTGCTCCCCCCAATATTTCAAAGAAAAGAAATAGAACATAAATGATCAAGCGCATGTTCTAAGAGTTAATGTAAATAATAACACATTTAATATTTTGGATAATATAAACAGCATATATATATATATATATATATATATATATATAATTTTAATACTATCTATTTCAATATGTATTGTAGTATATTGTAGTTCTATCACTTGTGGGAACAAACTGATACCTGTAGAAGTGTTATTGGAGGCACTACTGGTAGATGGGGCACTCCACAATTGGGTGCCATTAGCTGGCACAAGATAAAGTATATCTCCATGAGAAAGACCGATTCCTGACACCGTTCTACTTCGAGTAGATGTAAGTGGCTCCTTCTGACTTCGTTGCTTACAGAGATTAAACCCAAAACTATTTAAATCGAAGGCTTCATAGACCTAAGCAAGAAATAATCAGAGATAAATTTTACTGGTATATATAAAGACTAGAACATCTCTTGCAATCTGTACCTTCTCGTAAAGTTGAGAAATTGTATCAGAAGGTAGTATTTCTATACGTTTTGTACCCTCTGGAGACTGCACACGTAGGATCTGGAAATAAATAAACACAGCATATAGATAAATTTCTATTTATTTAGCAAAAATAAGTTTTTGAGCATTGTGTACAATAAAATTCTTAGTAACAAAATCATATATTCCTAACTCTGTATGTATTTGCTTTACTTGTATGTATGTAAATGAATTCTATTTACAAACTAAACAACAAAAAAGAATATTCTAGTCATTTTATACAAGTTTTCTACATAAAGCGTGTTACAATTATTAAAATTAATACGAGGGAGATCCCTAGATTGTTAATTTTGCTGCAAATTACATAATAACATTCGAAAACCTGTCAAGTCACGAGAACAGAAAGATGGAACGTCGTTAGATTCGCTCGTTCAGGATCATCTTAATAAATCGAGAGAGACGAAGGCCAGGTAGTTTCCGTCCTGAGGGGCTCCAGAACGGGAACTCCGATACGTTCGTATCGCTCGTGTCTGGGAATTTTATTTTCGCGGCCACGTTGCGATGACAAAGTGAGCAGGGGGAAGGGGAAGGGAAACACGGCTTTTACTCGCATCGTACGAGTGCTCGGGAGCAATCTGGAGTAATCTGACCGCCGCGTGCACTTACAATATTTGACATCTCGCCGGTATCGGTGGTGCATCAGCTGTTCAGCTCGCTGTGTTGTACGGCCGCACGAGTGTGCGGTGGCGCCAAAGTCCCTAGCGTCGCAACGACGCTCCGCGAGACGAGGAAAACTGTCGAGTCAACGTCGGTGGGGCTGACCTAACCTCCACGTTCTCTCTCGCTCTCTCTCTCTCTTTCTCCGTCTTCCTCGCGTGCTCTCCTTCTCTCTTTTTCGCGGTCGACGAGCCGCGTATCCTACGATGGCAGCGATGATTACCGAATACCGATGTCGCCGCGCGACCGCACACGCGCCCCTTTAGTCCCGCACTGTTATCGGTACGCGGAATTGGAGTCAGCGCGGAGTCAGCCAGCAGAGTCAGCTGAGCGCGCGCGAACGGAACACCTCGCGAATATACAACACGCTCGGCGCGGTACAACGAACTCCCGCGAGAGATCTCGACGAGCTCCAGGCGAGCGAGTGTGAGCGAGTGTCCCTGCCACTGATCGACCAGAGTCACCGAAGGTGAGTGCAAATCGAGTCCCCAGGGGGGTCTTGCTCGATGCTGGGTAAAACGTCTGTCGCTCGCGGTGTACTCTTGGCGCTATCGAAATTCTCTCCTCGCGCCTTTCGCTTTTCTCTTTTTTTTCCTTCTCTCTCTCTCTCTCTCTCTCTGTCTCTCTTTCTCTTTCTCTTCTCGACCGTCCGTCCGAACGTCGATCGAACGACCGTAATTTGCGCGCGCGACAGACGTCCAGACTAGAAGGACGATAAGGACGACGCCACTCGCAAGTGCTCGCAAGCGCGCTTTTCCCTTCTCCTGCGATTATCTCTCTCTCTCCGCGCACTATGCAACCTGTCCTACGACGGGGTAGAAGCGGACGCCGACCCCTGGCGCACTTTCGAAAGAGCGTAGCACCGTCGATATAGCATATCCGGCGCGGCGCTTGCAAAATCGGTTGTGCGCGTCGCGCGTTTCCGACGCTGCGCGCGCTGCCTTCGCTCACGTCCGCGTCCGCCCGCGCCTGACTAACTGATTCTCGCTTTCTGGGAACTACCCTTTGTAATCTGTTCGCGAGACGCAGACCTCGGGTCACTTCGGATATGATGCCGTGTTCATGGTTAGAGGTGATTTTAGCGAGACTTCTATTAATTTATGTCCCCTTTTTTTTTATTAACGTAGTTTAATTTCAATCTCGATTCAATCTCTCTCTTCATCTTTTTCTAATTTTAAGAAAAAGTGAAGAAAAAAGTTGAAACGAGATTTAAGTTAATCTACATTGGAAATTCGTGGGCAATTAATTATCGGCTGCGTTCAGCAGAGAAAGCAGCTTTGCTGTTGTAAAATTCTTTAATATGATAGGCTTATACATTTAGATCTATAAGGAAGCAAAAACAAGAATCAATCATATTGAAAAATTGTACAACATGTTTAGTTGTATTTATTTATTATTTTCGTTATTTGAGTAATGCAAAGCGGAACGATTTTATACGAATTTGTGTCATTGCAGGAATAATCAACGCGTTGAACACCGATCGCGAATTGTTGTCTGGTCATGGCCACGCAATGCCGGCGATTGCCACTTTACCAGGTGATCGTACTCGGATATAAATAAACTTAAACGCTGGCACATCTTTCGTCGGATGCATTTTAGCGTAATTGATCCTAGTAAATTCATACTTTACGAATTTTCCGATTATTAGCGAATTTTTCATTGACGAACATGCAACGTCTTGCAGTACGTTTCTTGTTAGCTCTGCAAAATTATATTTCTAAGGCGCGTTTACTTCAGCTGCTGAAAAACTGGCGTGTCTCTTTCGATATAACTGAGTTTTCAAATTTAGAAGTGTTTAGAAATATTCCCTCTGGCGTTTGGAAAGATTCTCTTGATTCGCGTTGCATCAATCCGGAACGGAGAATCACGTATATTTTTGACGCGCTATGCATAATTCCAAAACGCGCCTGCCAGGGTCTCTAGCCAACGTCCATTATGTTTCGGAATAACTGTGAAATCACAAGAGATATATAAACTGTTTATAAAAAAAAAACACCTACGGAGATAGAGCTACAGATAGAAACGTACGTTAATAGCGTATCTGCGTACGAGAGACAGACGTCTCAACCGAGTGTCTGCGTCATTCGACGCAGAGCGTGACTCAGCGACAATAGCGTCGTCTTTTAAAGTGCGTTTTAACGAGCCAACGAACGTTCCTTCCAGACACCACCGAGAATAATGTATCTATAATTGTAACGTGTAATTGCGATAAATCCTGACAATGCGGATCGCGGGATGGTTGACGAATGGAGAATATCGGAGCGACAGCCTCTCAAGGAACACACCAAGTCAATAGAAAAAAGAATGATTTTATTTTGACGTCATTAAATGTAGACGTCACGGTGATTTTTCGTCACAAAATTTATCTGTTTATTGACGTTAAGAATGAAAATAAAATTATTTTGATTTTTTGTTGACTCGTATGTGTTCCTTGGGTTGCGACCGCTACTTATGACCCTCTTACCTCTTTACCGTTTCTTCCTGCCAAGAACGACTACCGCGCCGTGAGAGACTCCGCGGCCCCGCGGAGGCCGCGTACTCCGGTGAGGATTTCGGCGCGATCAGTTTGCATTTGCTAGCCGGTAGCCATCTAGCGCGAGAAGCGCACCCCGGGCGCTCCCGAGAGACGGTGCTCGAGACCTATACGTGCGTCAAGTTCTTCCATCGTCATCGTCATCAGCATCGACCGCATCGGCTTCTCGTCTCCATCGGTCGATCCGCCGCTTTGCCAGGAGTCTATCCGCCGTTTTCATCCCCCTCCTTTTCGCGGAAGTCATACCCGATAATCGATCCACCTGTTAAGCCGTCAATGAGAGCAGGAAGGTAGGCCTTGTCGACGCTCCTCTTCTTGTTCCTCGTAAACCGCTCGCGAATTTTTCTTCTCTTATATTTTTCTCTGTTCGAAATTCGTTTATTCTTAATCAATCTTTAGTCTTCAGTTCGTTCTAATGGTATCCGCGCGTGTAATTTTCGTTTAATCCTTAGTTACACATGATTGGGTCATTCTGCACATTTCTTTTCTTTGAAAAATTAGAAGCATCAAATAATTAGTTTAATGCATATAAAATATATAACTTTTTTTTAATGTAACAACCTCACAAATATTTTCTAAAGATATTAAAGCATATATGTAAAAATCACTTTATAATTTTTGTATATTTATTAAAGTGATGAAAATTATTCCGAGGCATGAATGATTTATCGGTGTATGTAGTAAAGAACTGGAAAATCATCGTGTGTACTAAAGATCAAAGTAGAGAAATATTCCTTTAGAAAGCAAAGCGTTTTTCTTAAGGTGAACTTATGACGAAAGAAGGCTATTGTGATTACGTAATAAATGAAGTTTGAAGAAAATCTCATGTATCCTCTGTTGTCTTATCGCTGAAAGATGCTTTTAACATCCTTCTTTGTTAAAGTCTATGACACCCAATGTATTTGTTTTGGATTGTTTACGCTTTAATAAATTATTAGAAATTCTGCATTCTGTGTGGTGCAATTCTGATAATTTACTAAAACACAAACAATCCAACAAGAAAAAAATGCATCGTGCGTCGTAGGCTTTAGAGATACGTTTGGTTTACAGAAATTTTGAAATTGGCAGAAATATGCTTTTTAAAGGGCAAATTATTAAGAAGTTTATGAGAAAAAAATGTTTTAATCAATCTTCTTATTTACTATTCTAAATGATAACGCAACAAAATTAACTTATTGTTAAACGTCTATAAATAAGAACGCAATAAAATTGCCTGTATTTACTTTTAGACATCTATTTGAATTTCTTTCCCCGTAATTTTGCAATACCTCTTTAAATTGTAATAAATTGCGTCGAACGATCGAGTTATACTCGAAAACAAAGCTATTATGTGTAGATTCTATAATGTATGCGGATGCTTCTAAATCGCTGATTCACTACAATTACATGATTAAACTCCTTCGGTTTCTAATACTAGACATTCCTCTACGAGAAATCAAACGGCATTGCACGGTGAGAGTATTGAAGAAGTGTTTGCCGTAAAACACGACATATTATAAAAAAGAGCTGTGAGTATCACATTCCGAATTATCTCCTCATTGCAGAAAATCATTTTAGATTTTAATACGGGATCAATGATAGAAATCATAGCGATCGTAGGATTTCAATTCGTAGAAAATTGATCAATTATAGTCGATATTTCGTCTCATATTCGATTGTAATTGATTAATTTTCTATGGCTTAATACCCTACGACCACTACGACTTTTATTGTAGATTAAGCGTTAAAGAATTGAAAATTGAATTAGTTCTGCAAAAGAGGAGAGTATTTGACTAATCAATTCTCAGTACAACCGCTTACAACTACGTTTAAGCGATTGTAAAATACATCAGAACATTCTTTACATCAGAACATTTACATAGACACTGTTGTGTCTACTCTCACAAAGGTAGACGTGAATTATATCTCGCATAAAAGTCGGGATTGAAAAAGAATCATACGGGATATTTTACCGACATAAATATACAGGAAATACAAATGGATTGTTTGACAATTTTGACGATTATTATTTGGAACAATTATTTAAGTTTATAATAATTGCGTAATTTTTGAGGGATGTTATAATTGTTTTTAGGGCAAGATGGAGGAGGAAGATATAAGGACAGCAGTGGAACTGTACATTTATGACCTTACCAAAGGAATGGCCGCAATGATGTCGCAGATACTCATTGGTAAGCATATGAGGAATTGATGATACTATTTACAGTTACTTAAATATATCACTTTTATTTATTTTTTTACTTGATTTTTTTTTGGAATAATTTATTACAACGAAGATAAACGTATGATTAATTAAATGGTAGAAGATTCCGAAAATGTAAATATTTATTTATTCTATTATTAGTCAATTTTTACTTGTTAAAATGTTTATTTTATATTAAATTAAACAATGTTTAATTTAGTAAATAAAAAGAAGGTGAAGAGCTTTTTTAAAATAAAAAAATCACCATTGACTTAAAGAATCGAGTCCTGCATCACATAAATATATACCCTGCGTGCATTGTTATCAATGATTGCTCATAATATTTACCAAAACAAAATATTGTCTTCATCGTTGTTTTCATCGGATGCAATTTTAAGCTCCATTACCTTGAGCCGAAATGTTATTTAAAGATATATAATGTGACGGAAAACGTATTTCTTTATTATGCGCCGTGGAAACAGCGACTGCAGTTCACATACTTTACATTGCAAATAATAGACAAAGTGAAAGAACTAAGTATATCATATAATACATGAATTGACACATGCATTAATAAAATTCTCATTGAGAGTGCCTCCTATTCAGAGAATATAGCTCTGAATGATAGAGGATCATTTTAATCATTTTTATACGTTCGCGATATTGATTGCGATTTCAGTTTGTCGAAAAAAATCTGACGTTATCAATTGATTTCTTAACTCGTTTCCTTCCATTCTGCCAATCATGCATGCTCGTAATCCGCGGATTATCGCCACCTTTACTCATTGTATTTATTCCTTTCAACGTTGCTACTCTTGCCAAATCGTACATACGATTTCGGATTAAATGCGATTCAAATATATAAACAGCCGTCGAGAATTGATGACACTTTAGGCAACGATGACTCAAAGAGTGGCAATGGTGTCACATCGATCAGCTTCATGACGGTTTAATCGATGTGCTTCACTGATGCAATGGGATGTGCGCTGAAGTGCGCAAAAATAAAATGAAATTGATGCACGAAATAAAGTTGAAAAAGAACGTTAGAAAAATACGTACATGATATCTGACAAAAAATTCTCGGAGTGCGCAGCAATAAAAAATATTAATATCTCAAATAAAAAATTATTATATATTTTTTCTTTCAAAATAGTTCCTTATGACATCAATACACTTCACACATTTTGATACAAAACCTAAAAACTTGTTTTAATATCCATAGTTGGAATGCTATATTCAGAGCCACATTTCTGTGAATATCCTTCTTATTTATATCTTGTTTATAGCTTTTATTTACATCTTTCATGATGTTTTTAAGTTTTATATCAAAGATGTGAAGTATATTGACATTATATGGAATATTACTTTGAAAGATATCCAAGCAGAACACAACAAGTCATTATAATATCAAAATGATGTCAAAATGACTCTAAATAAAATATTATTTTATAACGTCATTAACGTTTCCGTGATTTATTTCTGCTTGGGTAAAATATAACATTTTATTATCTGAAATGTTGTTCTTATTACTGCAGTCCAAGAACTTTATTGTCAGACTATGTATGTACATTAATTTATTTGCGATGCAAATGCTAGCTAATTTTTGGGGTCTAGAAATGAATGATTCGAAAGACGAAGTGCAATTCGTAGGTGAAGACGTATAAACACGCGCGGCATGCGCGGTGATAATTTAAGAGAATCGCAGGTGCAGCAAGACCAATACGGAAACAGTTGGAAAGGGTGCCAGAACTCGCGATACCCTATAATGCGTATGGAATTCCATGCGAATGGCGTAAAGTGCGGATTGTGTGAGCCACGTGTCCGAGCTACGTATTCCCGCACTCTTAGACGTCTATTTTCGAGAGCGTCGAGGGCAGCGTTCGTTCCAATGCTCTGAGAACATTTTGATCCGCATAAATTGGCAGTCGCTCCAGACCGAGCGAGTGCCGAGTCCAGACCTCGAAAACGTGCGGGATTATATTGCGGATAAGTTGAATATAATGACATAGAAGAATTACGAATCTCCCGAGAAATATCTTCCGGATTTCCGATTATAAGGATTTGTAACTTCCAGTCGAATTAATGTGTTGTGTATATAATTGTCATTTAATTATTCGATAATTATTTCTAAGTCTAATTTCAAATTTTTGATTGGTCTTAATATTTAGGAGGTCTATTTTTTTAATTTTACAATTTTTCCTTAAATAAGATTTGTTTTAATTTATTACGTTTTGATTGTAATTTCTTGTCTCAAAATGTGACACTGTTTCGGCGCCACTGTAATGGCTTTCTCGTCCTATAAAGGTTAATTTAGTACGATAAAAATGTAATTGTACCCTTTAAGACACTGGAAAATTTGCATTACGTAAAGTTACGATCTATAAATGTATCCCGTTACATCTATGGAATCAAAAGACCGACAGCCTCCTCTCGCCTTTGAATTCGTCGTAAACGTCAGCGTCTTGCACCGCTCTGGAAGTAATTATAACGACCAGGTTATTTCTTGCGAGGTCGACATCACTGAGAGGCCCGAGAGACGCAATGAGAAAGCCACGAAACGATGCGTGTACGCGGATGTACTTAGCTATTTCCGCGGTGCAGAACTGGGTCAAAGGAGGCACATACAGGTCCGCAAGCTCGAGCTTCATCCGGGCTCGCGCGAGCTTCGCGTTTCGCACTTCGATCTAGCCAACGAATTTACGCGAGGACAAGCCACAATTATGATCGTCTCTGTCGGACCTTGAACAAATATCGCGAGCCTGAGTTTAAGCCTGTCTCGAGGTTGCTTCATTGGATCACGCCGGAGATGTAAATAGAATTAGTTTTCATCTAATTCCAAATTCTTTCTGGATCCGAAAACTTGGAACCAGCTATAATCTTTCGCTAAAATAAGGAATCTTTAGAATTCTCTTCTTCCAAGGAATATTTGCTGAGAGACGTCTTGCATTGTTAAAATTAAAATTATTTCTACCGGTAGATATTTATCGTATAATTACTTATTATTATATCGCGTAAAATGATAATTATTAAATAATTTTTTTATTTTATATCGACAAATGAAGGCGCTAAAATTATATATACATATATATCTACCACTATGCGTATCTTATTAAATATTATTTTATGCAAATATTATTACTGTTGCATTCTGTTTTGTCATTAAAACAAATGGTCATTAATCTCCAACTTTTATTCGCAGGTCGCCAATTGGACGGAATATGGCACACGGCGATAGTCGCATACGGAAGAGAGTACTTCTTCGGCCCCGTTGGCATCCAGAGTGTCCGACCCGTGAGTATCCTCCGCCACTGGCGGATCTGATTATCTCGATTGGGATGCGATCGAGCGTTTAGTAGCGCTGACTGCATCACGGCGACGCCGGCGAAACGCTAAAATACAACGCGGGGTTTTCGTTCAGTTACGCAGGTGGTTCCCGTCGCGCCGTACTCGATATTCCGCCCGAGTGCTTTCTTTCATCTTCGTGAGTATCTCCGCGATTTAGAAACATCAATTGAGACTCCCAGCTAGTATCAACAACCTATTAGTAAGCGTCCTCTGCCGCCGAGCTCTCGGCAGCGAGATTTCTGTTTGCTAAATAAACATCAGATCCATTCTCCTAATACCGCTCCCACGCATCAATATTTCTGTCTTTTCATTTACATGTTGCCGCAACAATATTAACAATCTCAGGGGGTCATCATGTAACTTTTTCTTCGGGGCAGAAACGTGAAAATTTTTTGTATGTACGAGGGCAAGGTGAAAAGTAACCGACCTCAACATGAAAACATGAACTATGTACAAAGTTTTTAGTTAAGTACCAAGTGTTATATATCAAATTACTTGTATTAAAAATATCTATAATTTATACTTTGACCACTTTTCTGAACAATTCATAGCTAAAAAGTTAGAGTCAAAAATATGTTAGCGCTTTTTTTCAAATCTGCCGCAGCAACTTATAAGCCTACCGAGCCTATGCTAACCTGTAGAGAAAAATGGTCAAGGCAGAAATTGTAGCCGCCTTTAATGTGAGCAATATGATATATAACACTTGAATATATATCGAAAAGTTTGACTTCGATGGCGGCATCTTCAACAACAAGTCGTACTTTTTTTCTTAAATTTTCGTTTTTTGCTTTTTTTCTTCTTATGGTTTTTTGGCTTTTTAGCTGTGAATTGTTTAGCAAAGTGGTCAAAGGAGAAATTATAGATATTTTCAATGCGCGTAATTTGATATATAACACTTGGTACTTAACTGAAAATTGCGTTCATGTTCATGTTTCATGTTGAGGTCGATTACTTTTCACCTTGCCCACGTACGTGTACACGTACAAAAAATTTTCATTTTTCACGTTTCCGTAGGGAAAAAATTATATGATCGATTTAAAAACATAGAGCATGGATTGCTTCATCCAGATGTAAATTGATCAACAAAAATGAGAGAGATAGCAGACACAAGACTGCCAGTCTCTATTTCTTTCTATTCAACCAATATTACAATATCTTAGACAGAGAAGAATATTGGCCATCTTCACGCTTTCTCTCTCTCTCCCTCCTTCTCTCCCTCTTCCTCTCTTTCTCTCTCTTATTTTGTTGATACACTATTTAGGGTGCGGTCCACTTGATGCTTCGAAGCATTTTTTGATTGGTCAGTTAATAAAATTCTTTCTTCTGATTGGTCAATTAAAAGTTGGTCAGTTGGTAAAATTCTTTCTTCAGATTGATCAATCAAAAGTAGCCTTAGATACAGATGGTGTAGTCCATAACTCTATGTCTTTGCTCTAGTCAGACATCAGTCGATGGGATCATCGCGCAACGACGTCGCTGGGACAAGTGCAATATAAATAACCCGAGGCCGTGTTATCAATGAGAATTAATGATTCCCGCCACTTCCCGTCGCACTTGATACACCTATGCCGATGCATGCGTATAGCCCGAAGTCGCGACCGATCATCGAAAGGCCTAGTCGCAGAGCGACGAAGTCACTCGGCGGGCCATACGATACGCTAGATACAAGCGGGAACTAAATTTGGTGTGGTTCAATCCGAAAATAATCCCCGCTGCACGCATACGCACGCACGCGTATACACGTGCACGCATACATCCGCTTCCTCTCTCTTTCTCTCTCGCGACTACTCTCTTTCCTGCCTTATGCTCCACGCGTTCAGACTCGACGTAAGGCAAAGGTAAGGTGAGTCCGTGCGTGCTTACATTCTCATACACGATAAAATATTCCCCAATAATTTCAATGTGGTTGCTACCTAATCTCACCGCAGTCATGTAAATGGTCCACCCTCTGGCGCACGTTCAGATTCCCACCCGAGTGCTGCCCAGGTATATCATTTCATTCTTGTTTAATATTCCGGGAATAATAAAAATAAAATGATACCTAAGTGATACTTAGGTGAGAATCTGAACATAGTTTTGCTTGGTTAAATAGTGAAATTACCTTAGAATAGTTCTTCCCTGCGTTACTTGAGCTCAGACTCATTTTTATGGTCTTTTCATGTGTTTGAAGGTATACAGAACGAGACCGGCAATAAAAATCACTCGAGATTAAAATATAGCAGAGAAGATTCTGTTTGAGTAACTTGAGTGAACTCCTCTTGATAGTTGAAGGGTTGATTCTCGGAGAGGAGTACCAAGTTTATAAGTCTCGAGATAGGATTTAAATCTTCTCTCTTGCGTGTCTTTTAAAGTGCTCGTCTTTTCGTAATATTGAATGTGCGAATAGCTTCCAAGTTTTCTGATACAAGAATTTCCTTGTTTTTTAACAGAATACGAAGCTATATTTAGTATCCTGTACAATTTCTTTTAGTGGCATCTGAAAGAACCTGCTATTTCTGGAATCGTACTATAATTATATTATAAAATTATAGTATCTTCTTCTGGATTATGATTCCTCTGTGCGAGCTGAAGAGGTGTCAAGCAGTCGCGGAAGTAATAATCGTGACACCGACGCGCATCTAAAAGCAACGCGATGAAATCATTACGGTAATACTTTATTATGCTGCACGCCGACGAAAATATGCACGTGACTAACACGCGCGTAATTGTAATGCGCATCGCTTTGCGACACCTAGATCTGTATAACTGATATATTCATTTCCGCCTACGAAACCTTCTCGTGAAACTCGATAACCAATAATTAGATGCTCCGATTGAATTAACAATATTTCTATTCCAGATTTTTATGAATATGTATATCTATTTTTCCAACAATTCTGTAATTAATTTTGGTTCGATTATCGATTAACATAGATAATCAATAATTGTTTACGAGCCAATTACAAACCAATTAGCAATTTCCTCATTTATTGCCCTATCTAATTATAATACAAACTATAAACATGGTTATCTCTATTCACATTTGTATCTTTTACTCCTTTTTGCACATCAATTTTGCTCGACAGGAATCACGATTTATATAACGAATAGTTATCTTTCTGTCGCCAAGATAGCTTCTCGTTTTGTCATCCACGTAATGCATATCGGCAATCGCTTGCAATTGGCCTTTGTGACATAGGGTGTGATTTACTTAATAGGTACTGCAAATGCTTCATTGATCAATCAAAAGAACGAATTTTACAAATTGACCAATCAAAGAATACTTCAAAGTATTTGTAGCATGAAGTAGAATCTAAAAACGCACCAAGGGAAAATCAAGAGAAATCGAAAGACTTTATTTTAACGTTATGAAAGTCAAAATGATGATTTTTTTCACCAAATTTTATTGACGCATAAATAAAGTCATTTTGATTTTTTGTTGACTTTTGTATTCCTTGAGAGTTCTTTTTCCGGGTTTCATTAATATCAATCGATTACGTTTATTGATATCACTTCATCTACATCATTCTAGAATTGGAAAGAGATGAGAAACAAATTGAACCTCGCTGAGTTAATCGTGTGAGTTGTGAAACTGGATCTAACTCCTTGTCCGACAAACGTTGTTTAAATAGGAAAACCTCTGTATTGTTTCTTCCCCAGCGAGTATCCCTTTTTTCCCGAACGGGGAAAAGAGTATCTTCGGCCAGCGATTTCAGGAGCGCGAATCTCATTTTGCGCGCGCGCCACGCATTCATCCTTCAACGTTGGCGTCTCGTTCGCCGTGGCGTTCTCCAAGCATCGGCAGTTCGCGTGCGAACCGTTTCCCGCTCTCAGGAGTGCTCTCGAAAAGAGTGAGGAAGTATAGTCCTACGACGGTTTTTTTCATTCCACTTTTACCTTACTTTTTGGATTCGTAAGTGCTCACGTGAACACGGACGCGTTTCCGGTTTCGTTCCGCAACCACCGGAAGTGAAGATCTCGTGGTATTGAGTGCTGCTGAGAAAAAGAGAAAAAAAGAGAGGGGGAGGGAGGAGGGAGGGAGGATAAGTGCAATTTTAGGATACAGAAGATGAAAGAATAGACTATTGGAGATTATACAATTTTGTGAGATAATACAGCCTTATAAATGATTCTTAATAGAAAGTTACGGATGTATTGTAAAAATATCAAATCCGTGATACGTTTATATTAGTTTTTAACTTCTCAAGAGAGTTTGATTGGAGAACCCTTAAATCTAGTACTAACTAATACTGAAAGGCAGTAATTAATTGCTTACTTTAAGTATTAAAAGCACTATTGTTCAGTACTTTTTTTTTAGTAATTCAAGTAAATAATTAATTACTACCTTTCAGTAATAAATCGACTATAATATTAAATTGACCAGTATTAGATTAAGGAAATTTTTAGTCATCGACTGATTTAGTGTGCTAATTGGATAACATTTCCGATTCCTGAATGATAATTTCTATTCTGTTAATTTCTATTCTCATATCTTGGCTTCGAGAGCGATGGAGACTCCTCGTCTTATTTTTACCTTAACTTTCCCAATTAATCCCTCCATTCTTCATTGAGGACGACATTTCGTAATTTAATGCAAACTAATTAAATTTTCTTATCTATTCGACGCTAATCTCGCTTTTCCGTGAAATGTATCGCGTAGATTCCATTATTTTTTAGACTTAAGAATTTGTACGATCGACACGTCCTCGCATTAATCCTTGAGAGATCCAACCCTTGGAGCGCGTAATAAACGCTTTCTTCCCATTTTCTCTCTCTTCGCTCTTCACTTCCGCCGGGCCACGTCTTTCTTTTGCGTTCTAGAAGAGGTCGCGGCTCCAACGCATACCGCGGGCGTCTATTTTCGGCGGTTTCTCGCAGGGAAGCGCGAGATTTGTCGTAGTTCTAAAATTACGCGGCCACTAATGCCAGGAGGAGGCGGGTATACTCTATCTTTCTCATTCTCTCTCTTTTACTCTCGTTCTCTCTCACTTTTCTCTTCTGTCTCTCTGGCGAACGAAACCGGCTGCTGGATCAGCGCAGCTGCCGCGAAATTGACATTGACGGCACGGTACGATTTTCCCGGACGCGATTTTAACGCGACCGCTCGACGCATTTCGTGTTTCAGGGCGGCACGGAGTTACGGGATCCGCAAAGAGTTGAGAAGCTCGGCGAGACTTACCTGCCCTACTCGGTCTTCCTGGAGTACATAAACGGCTTGGGGACCTCCACGTTCGCGTGAGTATCATCGGCTGATGCGTGCATGCTGAGATGTGTGTGTTTGTGTCGAGAACTGCTTCGGCCTCTTTCGTCTTCTATATCTTCATTTTGTTCACTTAAAACTGTGAGAAGACAAATTATGTGCTTGTATGTTGATTACTAAATTACTTTAAACGGCACTTTACTTATTTTCGTTTATTTTAATCTTTACTTTTCAAAGCGTGACCACCTTTAACTTGAGTTACATCTCTTCGTAAATTTATTTGTTAATTTATTGAAGGAATCTTGTGTCGCTTCTACGATCATCTTTCTTAAAGAATTTAATTTTTTGTGTAACATTTATTTATTCAAATTAAAAAAAATTATTCGATTTTTTTTTTAAATTATACATTCGATTTTCTGTTGTTTTATTTTGTTGTTATTTTATTTTTTTATTGTTTGGTCTTTTTATTATCTAATAACTTAGTTTGTCTTTAATTCTTGAAAATTAGTCGGTTTTTGTAGAATAAACTCTTTTCTTTCAGACCGGGCACGTACAATCTTTTCAAGCATAACTGTAATTCCTTCACTGAGGAGGTTAGTAACTTCCTGGTGGGCAAGGGCATTCCCAAGTATATCCTTGATCTACCAGAAGAAATATTACAAACGTACGTCTTTATTTAGTCACGATTTGCTATTTAATCTTACATTTATTATAGAAAAATGTATAAGATACCTGTTTACTTTATTTCGAAGAGATGTTTTAATACGAGTTATATTTTCAGTCCTATCGGACAGGCTTTAATTCCGTTGATAGAAACATTAAGCAGTAGCTCAAGTGCTGGATTCACAGTAGGCCAGAGATTCGTTGAGCCGAGAATCCAGAGGGAAACTTCACCGGAATATCAACTCCTAAATACAGCTATAGAAGAAGCAAGGTATAGTTTTAACGCGTGATTATCATTTAAGTTTTTATAAATATTTTACTATTTTATTAAACTATCGAACATCTTTGCAGATTGAATTCAATCGCGTTAGAGGAACGGAGAAACGTCATTAACGAGAAATTAGCGAAGAAAGACCGAAAGAAGAAAAAGAAGAAAAAGGAGAAGAAAGATAAGAGCAGCAAGGAGGCCACCAGCAGCGACAGCAATAGTACCGGACCGAGCAATTGCTGTGCAGATATGGCAGAGAACGAAAGTATGTAGAATTTTATATATTAAAAACAATTGTAATAATAAAAAATAATATAATAAAAATTCTTACAATTTGAAAAATAATTTTTATATTTATTATTTATTAGGTGCAGTCGGCGAAACACTGCAGGCGGCCAATGGAGAAAATGCACCCGCGGAGATGCTGCCGTCCGAGCGAGTGATGCAGATGGAGGAGGACGAGAAGCGTGAGCAAGAAGAGAAAAAACGCCATCGAGATCCACCGATAGTTTTCAAAGACTTGGTGGATGTACAAATGGAGTATGAAGGCTTGGTAAGCGCTCTCAAAGGGAAATTAAACGATGAAGAACAAACTTGCCTGGGTGAACTACGGCAATATGTGTTGGAGGACGAGGGCTCCTGGGCTTTAGGCGACAACTTTCTGAACTTCGTTGGTAAGTCGAAATAACATAATATAGTGACTCTCTCAAGTCTTTCTTTGAAAATGTGTCTGATTTATTCGATTAAATTTTGAATTTACACTATAATAGATATTAGAACATTATAAAAATAGACTTTTAAATAGAGATTTAAAAGTACATGATATACTGTGTTAAATTCAATTCAATTAAATCGGTTTTAGGTCGAGTTCTGTATGATAAATCATTAGATAGTGATGTGCGAGTAAAATTGTTGAACGTACTGTCCGTTGCCGCACTGAAGGACGATGTGATTCTGTTGTTGCATCAAGACAGGCGAGAGCACATCATCATGACTTACGCTTTTGATATCGATCGGCATCCTCCGGAGGAGCAACTTCCACTCGCACAGTTTGTAAGTATAAACGAAATTATTACAGTAAAACTAAAATTATTTTTATATTTTAATTCATATAGTTTCCTGATTTTTTGTACATTAGTGGAAATTTCTAATATTTACACTTACTTTTCTGAAAACCTTTAACGTAATAATTCAATAATTGTTTCGAACAGTTGGCAAATATGTTCGAGAATCTCAGCAGCTCGGAATGGTTACTCTACATATCGGAGTGGCAGCATCAGGATCAGAACGTCAGCAGCAATATCAGCAACATAAGGGTGACGACAAAGGTTGCGGTGCACTCACTGCTCTCAAACTCGGAAGATCTGCAGATCCGCGGTGCAGCCATTATTCACAACCTTGCCTGCAAGGAGGTAAAAACTGTGGTCTGTATCCTTCCTGTCCAATTAACATTCTCATCTTTCGCCGATTTTTGCTTTCATTTTCATAACTCGTCGCTTCGATAAGCGTGTCGCGTATCGAAGGAGTCTTATTAAAGATTATAATTCCACAGTTATTTAATTTTAAGCTACAGATATTTCTTTATATCATATAGTAGATCTCTGTTATCAATTTTACTTATTTTATGAGTTTACTTATGAGAAACAGGACTGTAGAAGAAGAAATATGAATCGGAATTGTTTAATATTAAAGTACGATCCTTCGATGCGCGATATCATTTGTAATGCCGCTTTCGGAATGCGTGCTTGCCGATGTCACAAGAGAACAAGCTCGCACTATGTCCTAGGAAAGAAGTGCTGCCTTTATTATATGTAATAGAAAAAAAAGAAATATTTGCTCTGTAAATTGCTGACAATGCTAAACAACGCGACCGTCGACGTGGACATCTCGCCTGGTAACCCGATTTCACGAACGAGCAACGAAAAGAACATAAAAGAGAACATACATATTTGCCATTAATCAAAAAGGACGGCTCAATTAAAGGATACACGACTCATTCGATGCTCGTTTGCATGCGCACACTGAAGCTCTCTAATCGCGCGGATAGCGCTGCGTGTGACGGATATCTTTCCAGAAATCGGATACTATTTTTTCAGAAAATGAACAAAAGCAAAAATCTGCGGCGACTTTTACCGAAAGGCAGCATTTCTAAGGTACCTATCCAAATCCATGTTAGATCGAACCGTGCGGTGCGGTAAGTCGTCAATTCTTATCGGTATCTAGCGTGCAACTATATACACGCGTAATATGCAACGCGATGTGCGCGACAATGTGATTAATTTTTCAAGTGAGTGTTTGATATCTCGTATATGTAACGATTATTAAAATTACAAAAAATTATAGATAACTCACATAACAACGGTGCTTCCAAGTTTAATCCTAAATCTATAACATTACATTCTGTAAAAAAATTGTATATAATTGTTTTTTGTGATTACTATGGAAAAATTAATTTGATTAAATTACTTTTGAGATGGACGTAGAACGTCCATTTCAAACTTTTGTTGTAATTTATATTGCAACTTGATAATTGTTTACTTAACATCGCGTCATGCAACCATATTTTTTTCATTCGCAAGAGAGTGAGATATGACATGATTTCTAAATATCTTTACGTAATGTATGAACTGTAGGTGTTTGATGACGTCGCAGTTGAACTAACGATGGCGTTATTGCAATACTTCAACGGCAGTCCCGCGGAGGAGCAGCTGTATACGTGCATGAAATCGCTGGCGCGTTTCACGCAGATCAGCGGCCAAGAAGTGCCGCAGCTCATACAGATGATTGGACCCGAACCGAACAAATTCAGGGGTACTTCCCAGAGAATCGACGAGCAGATCGAACAAGTTAACCAGAAGCTGCGTTAAATATCCGTTGACCGTCTGCGAAAATGTATTCCATAAGTGCGAGATAAAACCGGACACGCTTCCGCTATGTTTAAAATGGATTTTTACTTAGAGATTCTATCGAGTCAGTCACATTTATTATTATTATTATTATTATTATTTATGAATATTAATTATTGTTGTCATTTTAATATATTATTATATATGTATATTATTATTACTAGTAGACGTCGCAGCGTTTCTTCAACCTCACTTTACACTTTTTTATTCGACATCTTTTTTTGTAGATAATTGAAGCTAGCGACACTTTGCCGTTCTACGCAGATCGGTAAAAGATAGGAATGAAACGCATAAACGCGTGTGGCGCGATGACGCGATCGTCATGTGTGCGACTATCTTCCGACTATTAAAAAATCTCTGTCCGTTAGAAAATTTTCGCACGACGAAATCACCAAATTAGTTGTATCGAATAGTATGTCGTAAGCGTTTATGCACGTCACACTCTACCAATTATACGTCCGTTCGACGCTTTTCGTATTGCGAAGACGCAATAAAATTTTGGCAACAAAGATAACTTTCCCAGTAACATTGACTATTTTCCTCGTCAATTTTACAAGAATGCGCATTAGAAGAAAAAAGAAGTAAGAGTCTCACGGATTATACGCAGTAGCAGTCTGCCGCGTATCTTACATCATATTATGAAAGAATTAAAAATGAAGCAAGTAAAGTAAAGTCAGCTGTTATTAATCTCTTATCAAGGTTTCTGGCGCCGTTTGCGCGGGTCTTTATCAAAATGTCAACAATGCATGACACAAAACCATTGATAATTAGCGTAGCGTAATTAAAGGGATTTCCTCACTGGTATTTTTACAACGAGGTTTTAAGGACGTGGGGATGATAAGCATGAGCAGCTGCAGGAGTACCGAGAGATCCGGTATTGGAACACGCTTGCGATCGCAAAGCCATGAGAGCATAGTAGTCTCGCGTCAGATTCTGATTAGTTTCTCGCTTGTATCTTGTCAACGTGACGTGAATAAAATGTCCAACGGAGAGCCCCCGTCGTTTTCGATTTTAAAACAGAAACCGCGCTTCACAGTGACAAAGTACCTGCCGGTACTCTGCTGGTTACCGCAATATACTCGGTTGAAAGCCGTGTCAGATCTGATAGCGGGCATCACTCTGGGTATGACTATGATTCCTCAGAGTATGGCTTATGCGGTACTGGCTGAACGTTATCCGCAGGTATCACAGTCCGTCGTTCTCCTTGCTCGCTTTAATTAAGACTATAAGCATATATAAGCGGATATCTATTTAATGATCGTAAACATAAATATATGTATATAATATTTTTTTAAATCTCAATCCGTAATCTCTGCACTTAAAAAAATGCACTCTTGAATTTTATTATCTTCTTAGATACTAGATTGTTCTAAGACTTTTTTTGGTCTATATAATATCATTATACTTATTACTGATATGATGTGTCTCTCTGTGTCTTTAAAAATATATCATATGACAAAATAAGTAATACAAATATTTACAGTATGGTCTATACTCTTGTTTTGTGGGTGGTTTCGTATACATTATCTTGGGAACTATCAAAGAGGTCTCGATTGGTCCGTCATCCTTGATGGCCCTTCTGACATTGCAGTACACGCGAAACATGCCGCAGGATTTTGTAATACTCTTGTGTTTTCTGGCTGGATGCATAGAACTTTTAATGGGCGTACTAAATCTAGGCTTGTATTCTAGAATTATCTAATCGACTAAATTTCAATTATCGTCGCTCACATTTTTAATTAATATCATGTTCTACTGTGTTGTTTATAAGTACACCAACATAAAATTGATCGACACGATTCTTCCTGCAGGATTTTTGGTGGACTTTATATCAGTTCCTGTTACATCGGGTTTTATGTCAGCAGGAGCGTTTATTATAATTATCGCTCAGATGCAGGGCCTTCTGGGATTGAAATATAAGTCGGAAAATATTGCAGACAATCTGTACAAATTATTTAAGAATATTAATAAGATTCGGCTTGCTGATTCCGCACTCGGAATTTTCAGCATCGTATTTCTCCTCGTCTTTAGAGTGAGTGCCAGAATTATAAATGAACAATCTATAACAATTTTAGAAGTATCATGTAGATTTTATCTTTAGAAATTGAAAGATATTGACTATCCTTGTATGAGAAACAAAAGGGATGCTCCCAGAAATGTAATGATAAAAAAAATACTTTGGTACTTTTCCATTGGTAGGAACGCTCTCATAGTGCTTATATCAGTCACAATAGCATACCAATTCGAAGCGATTACAGGATCCATTCCATTTATACTTTCAGGTATGGACTTTATTTGTAATTATTATTGATAGTCGATTTGTCGAATAAACGATAATAATGATTTTTTTTAATGATAAAATAGCTAAAGTAAATAATAATCTATTCATAAGCTGAAGTAAAAAATAATCTATTCGGTATAATTATTGTAAAATTATTGAAATCTGATCATTTATAACTACTTTTAAAATCATTATTCTCTTATTAATCAATTTGACACTAAGCAGTTCTATTTAAAAATGTATTACAATTATGGAGAGTTATGGCATATCAACATTTTTACAGGAAAAATCGAAGCCGGCCTCCCCAAAATATCGTTACCACCATTCTCATCGCAAGTAGGAAATCAGACTTATACTTTTTTTGACATGTGCGCTCACTATGGATTAGGATTAGGGATACTTCCTGTTATATCCGTCTTGGCAAACGTAGCGATAGCTAAAGTATTTGGTATCAATTTCCATAATTCTTTCAATAATTTCAATCTCGAGTCAGACAGCAGATTGCCCCTGTAATCATAATAAAATAAAATTAGACTTAATAAAATAATTTCATTATATTTAACAAAATCTGATTTCATTAATTTGATTGAAACTGAGCAAACTATTAACTAACAGTAGCACACACAACAATTGTTAGTTACAATTTCCCACTCAACAATATAACTTATATTTAATATTAAAGTTATATTACTAAGTGGAAAATTACAACAATTATGTCAATATTTGCTGTCAAATATAAAATATCTGTCTTCATTTTCAAAAATTGAATATTCTCCTTATATATTATTTGTCGTGCAAAATGAAGAAGAATCAATTATTCGGGTAAAATATTAGATATATCTTGAATATTTTTTTTCTCTACAAATTAAAATATTTCAGATTGAATATTTTACTAAACGAGTAGATAAAATTTCGTAACAATTAATTGATCTTATAGCGTTAGGCACTTCCATTAATGCAACGCAGGAAATGCTGGCTCTCGGCTTGTCCAATATAGCGGGCAGTTTTATGTCATCGCTTCCAACTACTGGTGCGTTTACCCGAAGTGCAGTCAGCAGTGCCAGCGGAGTGCAAACGCCTATGGCTGGTCTATATTCCGGTAACAGAAAATCAAATAATTTAAATTTTCAAATGTCTTTATTTCTTTCGTACGCAAGAAATACGAGATGAAGTTGAATAGGAGCCTGCTAAAAATTACTATTAGGTTGAAACGTACGCTGAGAAAAAAATGCTGTTGATTCAATCAAAGTCTATATTACGGGCTGTCATTAACATAAGTGATTAAGTGTATATCTTTATTGACATAAAAGCATAAATTATTATTTCAATAATCAAGGCCTTTATGTCAATAAAAATATACATGAATTAATCACTTATGTGACAGCTCGTAATATAGATTTTAATTAAACCAACAGCATTTTTTTTCTTAGTGTATGTTCGATTATGTACTTGATGTATTAGGATTTATTAAATATTAGCATTTAACAACTAGCTTTGACTTGTAGCTAGGATGACCAACTGTTCTGAATTTTGCAGAACATCCCGATTATCGGCTCTTCATATAGAGACGTCCTGAAAAAACCCTTGGCAGGACACCATTTCTCGATTTATTATATAATCCCAAGCAGAACAAGTCGTTATGCTATCACAATGATGTTAAAATAACTCTAAAATAATCATTAAAAATCATTTTTCAATCATTTTTTATTCATTTTAATGTCATTTTGACGTTATCGTGATTTGTTCTGCTTGGAACATAAATGAATATAAAATTTAAATAACGCGGAGATAATTATTTCTTTCAAAAAATATTTGTCTACACTTTTTTTTTTAAGCAACTATGTATTTTCTTTACACCAATTGATTTGCCTCAAATTCCCTTCATAAGTATTAAGACACGATTATAAAAAAATTAATAATTTACGAGATATTTGACGTTTTATATCAAAATGTGTCAGTATAAAATATAAAATAACTGTTGCCATTTTTCGATCACTTTACTTTAATACTTTTATATGCGAAGTAATCAGAGGATTCACATTGAATTATATAATTTCATTAAAAAAAATTATATAATTTCATTTTAAAAAGACGATACTGTTTATATGACCTTAAAAAATTGATTTTTTTTTTAAATTAATTTTACCAATATTTGCATTCTTTAAGACTGTATACAATTTTTATCTGAAACATTTTTCCGTATTTTTCACATTTTCTGATATTCAATTTATTATGTTTGAAATGAATCACATTTGTATGAAAAATGTTTTTGCGACATACAACACTAAAAAAGTCCCGAATTTTTTGGTTGTGTCCCGATATTTTAAGGTTGATGTTCCTGGCTGATCGAGAGTTGGTCATTCTATGTAACGATTTATTATTTTAATTTTAATTCACCTAGTTGAGCTTTAATTATTATTTCTTATTAAAAATTACTATATTTTATCATAATTTATTATTATTCAACACACCTAATATTTTGTGCATAGTTAGAGAAATTTACGATTCTAATCTTGGCGCGATAGCGTATAATATGCAACATGAGCGAGACATTGTATAATGATATGAGATACACGTGTGGCATAAATATAGAACAAAACAAGATATAACGAAAAAATAATGAAATATGACATTGCACTTTGCAGGTACTATGGTATTGCTGGCACTGAGCTTTTTAACATCATATTTTTATTACATTCCACGAGCGACACTAGCGGCTGTGCTGATATCCGCTGTGTTATTCATGATCGATGTGAAAATCATAAAATTACTCTGGAAGGGAAGCAGTCAGTATTATGTTTTCACGTGTACACAGATTAGATGAGAAGATAAAGCAATGTACTTACATATATACTTACATAATATACTTGTTTTCTTGCAGAAATGGATGCAATCGCAGCGATAGGGACTTTTGTGGTCTCCATTTTTATCGGCATTGAAATCGGACTCCTTCTTGGTGTCATTTTCAATTTGATTCTTTTTATTCGACTGTCCGCGAGATTGACGCTTCAAATAGTCAATTGCAAAGTAAATAAAATTGCTATCATAAAATTTTGTCTTTTAGTATATTTTTATATATAAATAAAAAAAGAAGAATAAATGTTTCTATTAGATCGCAAATGTTTCGTTATTGAAAGAATGGATCGATATAATTTATACAGTAGTAGTATATAATACAAAGATACAAAGATAGTATCAAACAATGACTTTTTTTATTTAAAAGTTTTAGATAGATATTTTTTTCTCTTTATAAAAAATATATACTCAAAATATCCTCCATCATTTTATACATATGCTTGAATACAACTAATCTGATATTCATGACATTATTTTAAATCTATTCGTGTCTATTTTAATAACAAAGCATTTGAGATCTAAAGTTCATAGGAACATTTGCTCTTTCTTTTCATCTAGAATCCTATTGGCGCATAATATTATTTAATATTAAGTAATATTTTAAGTAATATTCTTAAAATATTAAATTACATTTAATATTCTAAGAATATGCTTAAAATATGACCTAGTATTAAATAATATTATGCGCCTATAGGGAAACCCCTTACGAATTTTTAAAACATATTTATAACTCGCCCTGTATACTTAATAAATATATATTTATGTAGTATAATACATATATATATACATATATGTCAATTACATGTGTACATGAATGAGACTATTAAAATTATTTATTCTTTTTTAGACTCGTCTAGGAAATAAATATATGATGTTAAAACCTGAAAACTGTCTCTATTATCCCGCAGTAGCTTCCTTCTGCGAGAAAGTCATGAGTTTAGCTGGAAACAACGTTCCGTTGATTATGAATTGTGAAATATTCAATAGTCTCGATTACACTTCAATCAAGGTATCGAATAACATTCGCCAAATAAAATCGATGAATGATTTATTTTTATTGATCCTGCTATTCGAACTGTATGTGATTTTCTATGACAGGGTATTGAAACGTTATCGAAAAAATTGAACAGCGAGAGAAATCAATTCTGGCTATTGCATCTTAATTCCAATGTCGTGAAAAGTTTTGACATTCTCGCTGATAACAAATATATTCGTTTGATCGAAAAAGAAGAGAGCATCGCAGATGTTCTTTACAGTATGTATTATTATTATACGTATATATGAAATTTATTGTTTAATATTGAGATAATTAAAAGCTATAGTGGTAATTATCACGAAATGATAATTGGAATGTAAATTAATGATAAATGTTTTTTCAGACGATGCTTTATCTAGTAAAAATTCTGAAGATCGGATCAATATTACTATGAAACAAGCAACGGAAATGAAAAATCTGAATCGCGAAGATCTTTTGTATTCAAATTCACGACAAAATGATTCCGAATCCAATGCCGAAGAATTGGCCTTAATGTCACCATCCGAATGTAAAATACAACAATAATCAAACAACTCTGTCTTTAATATTTATACTCTGTTGATTCTGTAATTTAAAAAAAGCCGCTTTTTTCAAAAATTGTAGAAAGAAAACTAAAATTATTTTCTTTTCGGAAAGAAGTAAATATGGCAAATCTTATATTACGAACACACATAAATTTTTTTAACGAATTTTTCTATCTTTGGGAAAGGAACCGCGAAAATCAATGGAAAAATGGGAAAAAACGGTTTTTTTCCGAAATTTTAAAACTATAGTTTTTAGTATTGATTCTAAATATAAAATGCAACTGAACGCTGCGTTCCGCAAAGCGCATGATTTGTCAGTTTAAGTTTGTTTAACATTTGATAAACAACAAGGATAAAATAATACATTATATGCAGTATATACGCTTTACGGAATCAAAGAGAATTTGGATCGAAATTAAATTTTCAAAACAAGGCGTTTAGATTCTATACGCTGTCTGTAATGTAAAGATAAAAATTTCTTAAAACGGATTTTATCGAATATATGACGACTTCGTTCGTCTTTTCGCAAAAGACTCGAGTAGAATGCATTTAAAGTGAAAAGATTTCTCTCTATATCAAAGAAACGTAGCATGATAATGTTGTACATTCATTAATTAAAAGTTGCTGTTTGCAGCGCAAACCAAACGCTTTACTAGTGGCTCACTATGAGATTCAAAGCAAGATGAGCGTACATTAACGCCGAAACCATCAAATTGACTTCCGACCTATTAGAAAATTCACTATTATTATTTCACATTACATTATGAAGCACAAGGATATAATCATAACCGTCACGAATCTTCTAGAAGGTCGGAGTAGCAAAAGCGAGCGCTGCACAGATCCCATTCAATAGAAGTTACATTCAATAGAAGTTTTTTGTGAGACACGAACGCAAATTCTTTCCGATACCAATACTCAGTTTTGCGCTGGAAGTTCTTCGCTCATTCTCTAATTAACTTTTTCAATCGTTGCATCGCATTATTATCGCAAATTACACGCATCGAGATAGGTCATAAGTCACAGGATGGTCTAACATATAATTGGGCCGCGGTGCTAAATCGCGAACGACTGTGCACTTTGTACATTAATTGGTAAGCTCAAATACGAAGATAAAAAATAAGTCTGTCTTTCTTCATCCAATTCTCTTCCTCGTAATCTTCTTGCAGTTCATATCAAGCATTTCCGATTGCACACCCTGATGAAAAGCTTGTTGAAGTATCAAAAAAATGTGAACAAAGAATTTTAACACTTCTTAAACACTTCATTGACTCTTAGTAAATTTTAACATTCATACACGCTCCACGAACTGTCCCCAAACGTTTCGTAAATGTCCGAAACACATCTGTCACATTGTCTTCGACCGAACAGCTAATAACGTTCACGTAATGTAGAAATCTCATTATATATTTTACAATGTCTTGTCACTGAAGAGGACCTTAAACGTGGGTCGAAACGTATTTCGTAATTTGTAACTGATAATAATAAATTCTTATTCGTAACAAATAACCTGCGCCGACTCTCAAAGGCTTTTTATTTTTTATTTATATCAGCCTATTAGAATCTACACAATTTTGAGATTTTCATAAAGAAACAAATAAATGGCTTGAACATTAAAAATAACACGGAACTTCTTAACTCTATATTATAATTAATTTACAAGGATTTAATACTTCCCTCTCCTTACTATCTTTGTCAATGTTCATATATACTTTAATTTTTTATTGCATCACATTCTTTCTGATTCTGTCACATGAGAGAGAAAGATAGAACTGACACATTTATCGAGCGACTGTCTTTGCGTTTATCATATAAGTCTAATAATTTATTATTGATTATTTATTATATACGTTTGTTCAATTCGGTTAAGATTTATAACTTTTTTTAGTGAACTTAGTAATTATAATGAAAATACGCTCGGACATTACAATTTTATCAGCACGTCTATGTTTCATAAGACGCTACACTAAAAGAAAAGATTGGCTGCTGCAGCAAATTAGATGGTAAAATATGGCATAGCATTTTTAATTAGTTGCAGCAGTCAATTTTTGATTGTGTCTATCGAAATCCTATACTGACATTGCGGATATAGGCTGACGCAACCAAAAATTGATTACTGCAGCCAATTAAAAATGATATGCCAAATTTTACAATTTAATTTGCTGCATCAATCAATCTTTTCTTTTAGTGTAGGCATCATAGGTCGCAAGCTTGTTGCGTCCGCTAATCTGATGCGTCAATTTTTAAATGGCACAACGCTACGATACTTGCGACGCTACTCAATCAGCATACAATATTTCAAAAATATTTTTTAAACGTTTTTATTTAATATATTTACATTAAATAAATACGTAAAAAATATTTTTTAAATATTTTTTTAATATATGTGCTGGTTAGGTAAATACAATCAATGTAAATTAGGCTTAACGATAACTGTAACGAGTTACTTCTAAAAACTAATAACTATTAATTTTATTAACGATTAATTTTAACGATTAACTATTAATTTTACATTATTAATGATAATTTATTATTTTTTTGACTCGGTAACGAGTAACTGTAACTTTTAAAAAATAACATGTCCTACCTAAAACTCATTTTACAATTGCAAAAGCGTAATATATATTTGTAAATGGTTATAGTTGTAAAAAAATAATCAAAAATTAACAAAAGAAGAACATAAAATCACAGCACAAGATATTCTTTGTGATATTTAATTATATAATTATATAATTACGTTTATAAATAATTTAGACCACAATCTGGCCATCTTCAGTAAAATTACAAATATCCATAAAACACAGAATTTACATAAATCTAACGTTAAATTCAGCCGAATACGCGCGTCCTTACTATTGTTGAAGATACGACCCACTGAGCGCACGACGCGCGGGCCTATCTTTAAATGTTAATATCTCGTTAATTATTGCGAGCACAAAATGGTAGAGGACTTTTCTACTCAGTTTAGTCCACTCTACCTGCTCGGGACGAGTGGGGCCGTATATTCATGCCACTTTGTATATATAAAAAGTCAAATAAGTGGTATCAATAAGTAAAGTGACACTGAAAGTTTGCCTGATTTTTATTTGTCTTTTTTAAAGAAAGATCTCTCTCACGCTTAAAAATAATTTTAGAATAATCTAAACTTTTGACGCACATATAAAGACACATATGAAGATATGGACAAATAATAATACATAATGTCATGAATTTCCATCTGCGTGAAGAAAGTGCTTAATCTTTTTGTCGGTAAAACAGGTAACAAATTGTTAATTCTTATCAAATTGACTAGAAGATATTAATGATATTATAATTTTTTAAATTAGAATCTGGCAATTCTTATTTTACATAATTTGCAATATGATAATTGACGCTGTAATCACGTTTTACGATGTATAAGAAGAAAGAATGCATGTTGATGTATATTTATGACCGCTAAATTAAGTTAGATTTATGTAAATTCTGTGTTTTATGGATATTTATAATTTTACTGAAGATGGCTAGATTGTGGCCGAAATGTCTAAATTATTTATAAACGTAATTATATATTAAATATTACAAAGAATATCTTGTGTTATGGTTTTATGCTCTTCTTTTTGTTAATTTTTTATTTATAAACCGCGTTTGTTATAATTATATAAAAAAATAATCAATTCTTAAACTTCTCTACATAGAAGTCGTAGATAGTCGTGGAATCTTAAGTCGTAGGAAACCAACCAATCACAATCAAATATAAGGAGAGTACTCGATTAGAATTGGTCAGTTTCTTACGACTTAAGACTCCACGCCGTTTACAACTTCTATGTAGAGGACTCTTTACAATTACAGCATATCATTTACAATTGCACTTATATAGACGCCGACAAGATACTACCAAAGACGGTCGGCCCCGAGCAAATTTTCGTGACTATCTATATGGAATTCCGGGGGTCCGAGAATAATTGAAGAACAATGACATTATCGACAATTAATATAAATTTTCAATTAAATTTGCGACTGACATAAATATTTGAATAATACATTATTAAATTCATAATTTTTATCATACAAATGCTGCATAAATAAGTATGTATACTTATAATATTATATCTTATTTTGCCGCAAAATTTTTTTCTCTAATACAATTATTATCATTGATAATCAAACTTGGACGATAACATTATAATCACAATTTAAATAAAAATTGAACATTTTTGAGTTTTAAACTTATATATATATATATATATATATATATATATATATATATATATATATGCATATCTACAAAACTATGAATCATAAAATTAGTACTATATTATCAGTCTTTTAGTCATCTAAATTTTAACAGTCACTCCGTTAAATTTAACAAAACTTTCCGCAGAAAGACCGTTTTTAACATCAGTATGTTGTCGGTTACTTAGGTAATTGTAGAATGAGTTTTTGTAAGATATCTTATCATAAAAAATGCAAGATGTTGCGAAATATGACAAAATTTTTGTTATATAAGGTATTTTTTAGATTCCTAAAGTTCTATAATGCATACACATGTTAGTAATTGATTAATTCTTATAATTGCATGTACAATTACCATTGTAAAATGAGGCAATACAGGCTTTGAGTAATCTCGGTTGCGCGACTGAACATTGGGATGATTGGCTTGTTTTTCTAGTGTCATAAAAACTCGATAAATCGCGAAAAGTTTGGGAACTTAAACTCGGCGATACAATAGATTACAATTACCCGCGTGATCGCGAACTTGATGAATTTCTTGCATTGCGCATTCGCGCGTTCGACGCGATTGCTTCTCGTGAACGCAACGGAAAAGGCACAGACGACTTCCAAAAAGAAAACTCTCGCCTTACATACCGCGTCTACTGTTCCGTTTTCATGCTCATTGTACAAGGCGAACTATCTATTGTATCAATGTTCTACATTTCTCAAGCAAACTCCATCCCAACGTTGTGAATTCATTAAAAATCAGAAACGTTGTGTAAACTGTTTCAGTACGAAGCATTCCGTAAAAGATTGTAAAAATCCTCGCGCGTGTCGACAGTGTAGTAAAAGCATCACACATTATTGCATTTCGATCATTCCGTTCAGTCTACGCTAAGCTACGTCTGTACCAACAAGTAGCGAGAGTTCCCGCCGTCGCTATTATTATCGCATTTATTGTCGAAAACCGTAGCGCCGATCTCAAAATCTTGCTCGCTACGGCATGTACGGCTCGTACGAGTTCATTCGCGCGCTCTTCGATCAGGGATCCATCTCTATGTTTATTTCCGAATCGCTTGCTCAATGCCTACGTCTTGCGAGAATTAATCGCTTCGTTTACCGATATTAGTGAAATGCGATCCGTGCGTCACGCCCAAATCACGATTACCCCGACGCATCGCGACGGACATGCCTATACTACGACCGCATTTATACTGCGATCACTAACGAAATATCTACCGGATCGAGTCGACACTGCGCTGGAAACATGTCGCAGGGCTTGCCGATCGTGACCCCATGAGTTCGGATCCGATCGACATCATAATCGGTGCCGATCTATTCGGCACACTCGTTCTCGACGTCTTCGAAAAGGCTCCGAACATGAGCCCATCGCCCAAAATACGACTTCTGAGTCATTTTCCGTGCCTGTGCATCACGAAGTAATTATTGAGACTCTCGATCGCGATCTTCGTCGCTTCTGGGAAATCGAGGAAATGTACCTCAGGAAGCTCCGCGGAACCCTGAAGAACACCAGTGCGAAGAGTATTTCAAAGTCATACATTCACGCCTGTAGGACGTTATATTGTTCGACTATCGTTTAAAAACGGACCACCTATCTTGATAGGCGAATCACGCTCTATCGCCATTTCAAGCCTTCATCGCTTGGAACAACGCTTAATTCGCGATTAATGCTTTCATATGATCAAAAGTCCACCGACGAAAATCATCAAACCAGAGCAAAACTATTACATTCCGCATCATGCTGTCTTACGTGATAGCAGTGCAACCACCCGCTTACGAGTGGTCTTCAATGTTACGTGCCGTAAAGTGGCGCATTGTCCAACTGGCTAAAATACGCCAAATCGTTCTTGTGCGTAACCCTCTGGCTGCACCGAGCCAATGGGAACTTGGCCGGATTACGGCGTGACAATCATCCCGGCGATGACAATCTAACTCGCATCACTGTAAAAACAGGGCGCTCCGAATATAAGCGACCGATTGCGAAACTCTGCTTTCTACCCATCCATCAATTCCGAAGAATCAAAAGATTCCGTCATGGCGGGCGGATATCCGGTAAACGTACTTGATGTTAACGATATCGCGGAACCTTAATTTTCAATTGCATTGCATCATCACTTTTGTATTTTGTGTTAAAGCATTTTCGTCGTTATACCACTCTTGTATTTTGTTTCGATGAGAATTATTTCGAATGCTTATACGTTCCAGGCGGGCGGTATGTTCCGGAATTATCGGAGTTATAATATTTTCACATTCGTGGAACAAGCAAACAGCTCGTCGACAGCAAGCAATCAAAGCACACATACCTCGATCCTGTGTGAATCACGCTGTTTGTTTCAAATGGCACGCGACCTCCCTTGCGCAAATCCAAAAAACTGTCGATCGCGCACACGCTCCGGGTGAGACGAGCGAACGTGAGACGTTCGCTTGCCGATCTCGATCAATACATTTATCGCTATTCATTCGTACGCTTCTTTTCGAATTATTAAAAATCTTCCGTACAAGGTGACAGCCACGCGTCACAACAATATCTTGTTTTCTATCTAAAAAGCTGCGACAGCGGAGTAGTCTCGAGTTAGGTTCTTGCTTTCGTTCATTGTCGCGAAGAGGATGACCGACGAGGAGTGCCCGCCGATTTCGATTTCGGAAAAGAAATCGCGCTTCACGATGACAAAATATCTACCGGTGTTCGAATGGCTACCGCGATACACTCGATTCAAAGCCGTGTCAGACATAATAGCGGGCATCACTCTGGGTCTGACTATGATCCCTCAGAGTATGGCTTATGCAGTACTGGCTGAACGGATTCCACAGGTATCACAATTCCGTTCGTTACTTCCCTTATTCGCTTTAATTAAAACTAATTTAATGACTGTAAAATTTGACGTAAATATTAATGACGTAAATATTTATATGTATATACAGTGAGAGCAAAAAGTATTTGTACGAAGAAATTTTTTATAAAAAAGTCTTATTTGTAGAAAATAAACATTAATTAGCAATTTTATACAATGAATATATTCTGTTTTAACATATACAAATGAGCTTTACATGTATTTCTGATATTATAAGTTAAATTTCTCGACTGTACTTTTTGAGCATTCAAACAATGGAACTTTTAATTTTCGCTTATTTTTCAGATATATTTTCTATAATTAATACACATCTTTTTGGTATATATAATTTTAAGAAACATACAGTCTATTTTATACTTTATGAATAAATTGTTTATTATCCAGCAAGAAGTGATCATCAATTAAATGTCGAATCGACATCAATTGATGTTGAAATCATCGATATCGATTAAACATCAATTCGATGACTCATTTCTCGCTGAATAATATTTAATTTTTAAAAATAAAGTTTTTTTCAAAAATATTTTCTCTGTACGAATACTTTTTATATTCACTGTATGTATTTCTTTAAATTAAAATCTGATTTTTGCGCTTTGAAAAATGCACTCTCGAATTTTGTTGTCTTCTTAAATATTTGATTTTTCTAATTCAATCTTTTTTTCTATATTATTATTACTACTATTTTTAGTACATATTATTATTTAATCTATTAATATTATTTAATCTGTTATATATCTGATATATTTGTCTGTGTCCTTAAAAATATCATATGAAAAGTAATGTTACAGTATGGTCTGTACTCTTGTTTTGTGGGCGGTTTCGTGTACATTATTCTTGGAACTACCAAGGAAGTCTCGATTGGTCCATCATCTTTGATGTCCCTTGTAACGTTACAGTACACGCGAGACATGCCGCAAGATTTCGTAATACTATTGTGTTTTCTGACTGGATGCGTACAATTTTTAATGAGTGTACTAAATCTAGGTTTGTATTCCAAAATTATCTAATTAATTTAATTAAACGTCACTTCACTCACGTTTTGATATCATTTCTATTATCACTTCTTCTACAGCATTGTTTACAAATACATCGACATAAATATGATCTAAATGATTCTTCCTACAGGATTCTTAGTTGATTTCATATCAATCCCAGTTACGTCAGGTTTTATATCAGCGGGAGCGCTTATTATAGTAATCGCTCAGCTGCAGGGCTTCCTAGGATTAAAATACAAATCGAAAAGTATTACAGACAACTTGTACCAATTGTTTAAAAATATTAATAACGTTCGACTGACCGATTTCACACTCGGGATTTCCAGCTTTATCTTTCTTCTGATCTTGAAAGTGAGTGCCAGAATAATATATAAACGGATATAAACGGAATATATAAACGGATTATTTACAATAATCGTAGAAGTGTTATATAAATTCAATCTCTAGAAACTGAAAGATATTGACTATCCTTGCATGAGAAACAAGAAGGATGCTCGCAGAAATGAAATTATAAAAAAGGTACTTTGGTACTTTTCCATTCTTAGGAACGCTCTCATTGTGTTTATTACATCCACGATAGCGTACGAATTTGAAGCGAATACGGGATCCATTCCGTTTAGACTCTCAGGTATAGACTTTATTTATAATTATATTATTGAGTCGATTCTAAATAAACATAATGATAAATAAATAAATTTTCGAAAGGCTCTCTATAATAATAATTAACAAAGTGTAGAAATACAGAGTATGAGCCAACCGCAGAACTTACTTGCGTAAAACAATACATAAATTTTCAGTACGTAAAATCAAACATTATACCTCGTACGCGTGTGTTATATAATTACTCAGCGAGAGATTAAGCTCTCTTCAGAACAATATAAACGATTACGCAAATTAAACAGAGAGAGAGAGAGAGAGAGAGAGAGAGAGAGAGAGAGAGAGAGGCTTAATTATTTCAAGTTTATAATATATAAATAGAATGACTTTAAATTAAAAAATTAACATAAGATACAAAAAATATAATGTAATATTCGAATATAAATGATTACATAAAATTGAGTTTCGAGACCTCATCTTCTCAAAAAATAAGATAAACTTTAGAGCTAAGCTGTTCCTAGAGTAACGCGAACACATGGTAGTTTGAAGACCGTATGGAGAATTCTGAGTCTACAATCGTGGACCAAATATTATTGGTGAGAATATAAAACTGTGTCATTTAAATATGAAATTTGGTTTCAATATGAAAATAACTGTATATAATCAGTCTGTGTCGGTAACTTATTTTTGTTACACTCATAATTAAGGACAGTAAATTTTTATACAGTCATATCATATCACATCTAGTATTTCATCAAGACAAGATTTCTTGTCTTGTCTTGATTTTAAAAATAAGAAATTTCGATTTTCTTATCTTGACCATTGTATTTCTTGTCTTGAATTCAAGAATCTTAAATTTCTTGAAATTTCTTGGTTTTTTTAAGCAAAGTTCTTGTGGTTCGTTGATTACGTCGCGTCGTAAGAGATAATGAGAAAACATAGGTACAAATTGAATGTCGAGTCGTCTCATAGTTTACTATGTTTAAATTCATGGTTTAAAAGTGTGCCCATCTATTATGGACAAATCTATTAACAAAAATTAAAAATATTTCTCAAATTATTATTTTTAATATTATGAGGTTACTGCCAAATGTAACTATTTCAGATTATTAGATATAATTATTATAATTACTATGTATTTCATATCATTCCTGATTTAATTGATACTATTATTATAGAAATACATAAATGTTTATACATAATATACTTTTGCAAGTAATCTCGCAATATTGATTTTATATATATTCCTTTACATAAATGTAAAGGTTAATATCTGGACAACAAGGACGTATCGATGAGTATAATTTAATTTGATTAAATTAGAAACTTTACTTTTTCATTAATCGATTTACATTCTGCTCATATGCTATTTTGCTATTTAGTGAAAATGTAGGAAAATATACATTTCTAAAATATGCATTATATAACCTGTTATAAATACCAATAAATACAAACATAAAATCTAACATATTCAAAATGTTTCAAATCAGAAATAAAATAATAAAATATTAAAGTATTAAAAATAAAAACTGTCACGAAAATTCAAAAAATTTCAAAAAATGACTTATTGTCAAGAAATCTTGGTCTTGATAACAATTTCTTGTCTTGTCTTGAAATCAATTTCCAATTTCTTGTTTTGATTTTGTCTTGATTCAAGATAAAACCAAGACAAGATTTCTTCATTTTCCAATCGCCATGAAAGCAGCTTGCATTACTCTGGCAACAGCTTAGGTTTAAAGTTTCGAGAAGATGAAATCTCGTCGCTCACATAATCGTTTATAAATAATCCATAATTATTTAAATTGTTTCTAAAGAAGACTCAATCACGCAACCGTTATTAACGTATGAGGTATAATGTCTGACTAATTTATGTACAATTGAAAATTTATTGTTTTATGCAATAAATTTCTGCAGTTGGCTCATACATAGCTTGTATTTCTATACTTTATAAATTACATAATGATTTTTAAAAATAATTACAAACTGAATAGTTTATATATAGCCCTACTAAAAAGTATTATGTCTCAAAGTTACATAACGAAATTATGTGATTAAAATAAGTAAACTATGTAACAAATTGTTCCAAATCAATAAGTGATTTTTTAAAATACGCAATTTGAAAATCACATGATATTAGAAATAATTTCATCCATCATATGATTTTATAGTTATCAAATTTCAAAGAATTGAATGATAGAAATAGAAGAAAAAACATACCATCGTGCAAATTACATAATTTAAAAAAATTACGTATTGATTTGAAACAATCCGTTACGTGATTTACTTGTCTTAATTACATACCTGATTTCATTTATGTAACTTTGTGGCGTGATTTTTTTTTAGTAGGGAGTAATCATTGTAAAACTACATTGAAATCTAATAATTTATAACAATCTTCAAACTCATTTTTTGTTATTAATATTATTTAATAATATGTACTAAATAATTTTATTTAAAAATGTTTTATTTAAAAATGTGTACTACATAATGTTTATTTGTCATACTTTTATAAAGTATTATGACATGTCAATATCTTAAATCTTACAGGAAAAATTGAAGCCGGCATTCCCAAAATATCATTACCGCCATTCTCATCGCAAGTAGGAAATCAAACATACACGTTTTTAGACATGTGCGCTCACTATGGATTAGGATTAGGGTTACTTCCTATCATATCCGTCTCGATGAATATAGCAATAGCCAAAGCGTTTGGTATTAATTTCTATAATTTTTTCAATAATTTCAATTCTAAGTCAGACAGCAAGTTGCCATCCCTATAATTACAGCAAAATAAAATTGAGTTTATTTTTAATAAAATCATTTTATTATTTTTTTTTTAAACAAAATCCAATTACATTTTATTAAAAATATATAATAAATATCTCAATTTTGATGATTTATCTCCGTACAATTCATTATGTAATATGTTATGAAAAAGAGTAAATGAATTGTTCGGATAAAATAATAGATAATATTTAATAATAGAATATATTTCGAATAACTTTTTTTTCTTATATAATTCTCTACAAATTAAAATACTTTGAATTAAAATTTTGCTAAATATAAATAAGATATGTAACAGCTCGTAATCTTATTGTAACAAATAAATAATTTTATAGCGGTAGACACCTCCATTAACGCGACACAGGAAATGCTGGCTCTCGGTGTTTGTAACATGTTAAGCAGCTTCGTGTCGTCGCTTCCAATCTCCGGTGCATTTACTCGAAGCGGAGTTGGCAGTGCCAGCGGAGTGCAAACGCCTATGGCCGGTCTATATTCTGGTAATTAAAATCCTAATGACTGCGTTAATTTAAATTTGTCTTCATTCGTTCGTTTGCAAGAAACAGGAGATGAAATGATGAATAGGAGCTTGGCAAAAATTACTATATTTAAATTACTATTTTTTTCTTATTATATAGTCTTATTATCTAATTGTTTAATTAAAATCTCATACATAATTAGAAAAATTCACGATTTTAATCTAGATAAAATAGCAAGGTAATGTAGTATAGTGATATAGGACACACGTGTGATATGACGCTTATAACAAAAAAAGATATGCTAAAAAAAGTAAATAGATGACATTGCTTTTCACAGGTACTATGGCATTACTGGCGTTAAGCTTTTTAACGCCTTATTTTTATTACATTCCACGTGCAACGTTATCAGCAGTGCTGATAAGTGCTGTGTTACCCATGATCGATCTAAAGATCATAAAAGTACTTTGGAAAGGAAGCAGTAGTCAGTAATATGTTTTTTCATGTGTACAGAGATCAGACTGAAAAGATAAAGCAATAAATTTACATAATATACTTTTTTTCTTGTAGAAACAGATGCGATCGCAGCGACAGGCACTTTTGTGCTTTCCATTCTTATTGGTATCGAGATCGGATTACTTCTCGGTATTTTCTTCAACTTGATCATTTTTATCCGATTCTTCGCAAGATCGACATTTCAAATAGACAACTGCAAGGTAAATGTTGTCATTTTGTATATGTATTTTTATATATGATTAATATATGTACAAATATATTTTTTTAATTTTATATATATAATTAAAAATATATATTTTATATATTTATATATATAAATTATATATAATATATATGTATAATATATAGATTCTGTTAAATCATGTAAACATGGATGCTTATATATTATATATAATATATTGTACATGTATGCATAATTCATAATATTGCGTGTAAACGTGGATGAAAATATCAACTATTAAGATTATTAATTTATTCCTTTTTAGACTCATCTAGGAAACAAATATATAATGCTAAAATTCGATACCTGTCTCCATTATCCCGCAGTAACTTCTTTCTATGATAAAGTCATGAATTTAGCTACAAAAGACGTTCCTTTGATCATAAACTGTAAAACATTCACTAGTCTTGATTACACTTCAATCAAGGTATATCATTTATCATATAAAATTGATTTCCTTTTATTGAATATTTTTATTCGTAAATCATTTTGTTCAAACTATAATTTTTACAGGGTATTGAAACGTTATCGAAAAAATTAAATTACGAAAAAAACCAATTCTGGCTATTGAATCTTAATTCTGATATCGTGCAGAATTTCGATATCTTTGCCGACAACAAATATATTCGTTTGATCAAAAAAAAAGAAAACATCGCAGATGTTCTTTATAGTATGTATTATACAAAACATATTATACAAAATTGATATTGCGATAATTATATGAGCTATAGTATATCACAATGTGATAATTAAGTTATCTAATGAACATTTTTTTCAGATGATGCTTTATCCAATAAAAATTCTGAAGATCTGATTAATGTCCCATTGAATTCTCAGCAAGAGGATTCCGAATTTATCTCCGAAGAATTGATCTTAATGTCACCATTGGAATGCAAAATTAGACAACAATAATTAAACGACTAGATAGTCTTTAATTTAGTCTAGCAATTATAAATATATAAATATAATTAAATAAAATTATCAGACTAAAACCAAGTTTTTAAAACAAAGACATTTAGGCCGGTATTTTATTCATTAATTTATTTTTGGATCTGATTATTCATGCACTGAAAAAAAATCTTAATTTTAAAAAAATATTTTTTTGAAATTAAGATTTTTTTTTCAGTGCATGAATAGTCAAATCCAAAAATAAATTAATGAAATGACGGTTACGACAAATAGAAATTATAGGAATACGAATGTGTAGAGCGTGTGCATGAAAATCTATAATGATTTTACAATTGAAAATTAAAAAACATTCTTCATTATTCTTTAATATTGTTTTATCAGAAATATAAAAATCTTAGAGATTTGTATATTTTTGATGATAAAATCTTTATTTAATATTGGCCCGTATTTAGAACGCGTTTTTATCTTTGAAATTTTATGCGTAATGTAAAATATACCCGAGAAAAAATGTTTTATATATTATAAATTATTATAAAATTATGAAAAAAATATGTATAATTTTACATGATTGTATATAAATGGACACATTTTGGTAATTATTTAGAATAATACCCTCCCCCCCTCGCACCTCAAATCTTAATAAAAATACACTTATTCGACGTGTTTTCACTTAAAACGAAAGAATTTGACAAAAAAACGCAACGATCGGCCTCGTGAATCGAGTTATTAAGTGTTAAAGTTGGAGACTTTAGAGATTAAGATATCTATTCATCTCGATTCGATACAACTCCATATATATACGTTCTGCATTAATTACACAAAGTAAAAACACAAATTTAGTGCTTTAAAAATACAAATTCACTGCTAATACAGAAAATTTGTGTGCTTAAAGCAGTGAATTTGTGTTTTTAAAGCAATAAATTTGTGTTTTTAAAGCAGTGAATTTGTATTTTTAAAGCAGCGAATTTATGTTTTAAAGCAGACCCAGCAAACGACAATGGATTAAAATGGATTGAAATTTTTTCTATCCGAATGCGTATTTTAAATAGCGAATACTTTTTTTGGATTTAATTGAATTCAATTGGATTCAATTGGATGCAATTGGATTGAAAAACTGCATTTCCTATTCAAAATTTTGAATTGAACACTATTTACAATGTGTGTGTTGTGCATAGAAAAAACTAATATTATTTTTAGATTGAAAAGCATAGAGATATGCTCCATGCAATTCCTATAAATAAATAAAAATGCATTCAGGATTGACGTAGTAAGTTACGTCATTTTGACATCAAGTGACGTTAAATGACATCATTTTGATGTCAGCTTACCAGGATTATATATAAAATTATATATAATTATATAGAATTATATATAAAATATTTTTCCCGAGTAGTAATAATAATATTTTTTTCAAGATATTAATAAAAATAACGATCGATATTTTTACAGGAGTTAGCGTGATTACTCAATAATGTGGCCCGTATTTAGAACTAGAATTATTAATTTAGAACAGTTAAAACGATTGATAATGTCAGCGTTTTTCAATTTCCACAGAATGAATCAAACTGCTCCAGAATAATCACGCTAACTCCTGTAAAAATATCGATCGTTATTTTTATTAATATCTTGTCAATGACAAGTTTAAAAATCAAATGCACGCATGTTATAATAGTTTATATTTGGCGCAATTTCCTACTACTCGTCATGTGACAAATTTTCATTCATTGTTCCACTCTTTTTTTATGTCGTGGGGAAAGCGCTGAGAGGCGCTGAGATCGTTTCATTATATACGTTTGTGTTCATGTATGGTGCACTTGTATGCATTTAAATTAATAAAATATTATTTTTTTATGTGTAGCAACAATTTTAATTATTATCTTCATATTCTACTAACGAAAACACGTAGGAGTAGAACTTTTTCATTTGTAAGTTAAGTCTATATATTCTATATAATCAACAATTTTTCGATAGCAATTGAGGTTATATAAAATTTATAACATTTCAATTCTGTTGTAGATAGTCTTTTTTTCTGGATTATAGTAGTTCTAAAATGAGTGTAATTACTGAGTCCGAGAAAAAACGCTTGCAATCCTTGAAGGAGAAGAAACAGGCATTCAAAGCAAAGGGACAATTTATACAGCAAGCATTAAAGAACTTAGTGGGTTTATTCATGTATTGTAATTGTATTGTATTTTATATGTATATATTGTACTTATAAGATTATTATTTTTTTTAGGATAATACTACAAACAATAAAAAAATTATATTTGATGATGTTAATGAACAGCAAGACATAAAACAAAAGGAAAAAACCAAGAGAGATTTGTTTGACAGTGACGATGACAATAACAATGAAAAGAATTTTTTATGGAATGAAGATGAATTTAAAGTTAAGAAACGTAAAAAGGTAAGCATTTGATACTTTGTTTTATTTTTTTCAATAATAGTACTAATAGTATTTATTTATACTCATTACAGATTACTCTTGGAAATGATGCACGTTTTACACTGGATGATCGTTTCACAGAAGAAGATAATCAGACCAAAGAAAGTAAAGTTGTTGAGGATACCGATGAGTGTAATTTGCAGAAGGAGAAGGAAAAACAATTGGATATTTTAGAGGGCATTTTAGGAACACCACTTACTATAAAAAATCCAGAAATGAAATCTATTAAGTAAGAATATTTAAATAAATAAGAACTTATGATTGTTGCTTTGGATATCTAATGATAAAGTATTTACAGGAAAGAATTGATGATACGATATGATCCAACTGAAAATGGACACTGTGAATATGAAGTGAAACCTATTCAATCAGAAACTAAGGAGAAAAAAAAGAAATGTAATAAATTCATGCCAGAAATGACAGATCCTGCAATTCCCGAACCAGAAGTGTCAAAGGATATTTATTATACTGTATCTGATACTCTGACAGAAAGCTTGAAACAGAAAGGAGAATTTAGTTTATTAAAATTACATGGAAAGGAAAGAGATGACACAGGTATTTATTAAAAAATATTACATTTTTATATTTTTATTATTTTATGTCTGTACATACATTATTTCAATTTCTTGATTCATTTTCAGAAAATATCAAGGATAATGATACATCCACAGTGGAAAATATTAAAACCCAACATTTTAAATTTAATTTTAATGCAAATAATGCATTTAAATATGATTCATCTGGTGAAGAGAATACACCTGAAGCACCAGATATAAATAATCAAATGGTTGATGAAACTAAAGAAGACATTCAAGAAAATATCCCATTTGGCCATAAAGATACTCTATTTTTTGATAGCAATGATGTAAGATTTAATGGTACGTATAATAAAAAAACCATCGAAGCATTTAAGTTGATACTATAAATATATATATATATATACACACACACGCACACACACACACATACATATATATATTTTTTTTTAGAAGCTGTAAAATTCTTCAGTACAGAAGCTGCTTCAAATGATACACTTAACAATTTAAGACGTGAATTAAAAACAATTGTACGTATGAAAATTCGTAATAACATAAGGAGACATCAGCCCTATGGTAAGAAAAGAAAAATAAAAAAATCTCAATAGTATTTTTTTATTCTTTTTGAATATCTATATTTGTAAAAAGATGTAATAATAAATACAAAACTAAAATTATTTTATATAAATATAAAAAATTTATATATAAAAATAAATTTGTTACATCATAAATACATATATACATCATGAATTTTTATTACATCTTTAGCCCTCACATTGACTATTATATAATAATTTAGTCAACCTACTTTTTTGTCCATTTAACAATATCTGAAAAGTTCTCAATCTCTTCCGTGATATTATAAACAATGTCTGGCCACAGTGTCATCATCTACTGATTTTTTCCTTATCGTTATCCATATCATTTAAGTTGCGGATTTAGACATTTATGTTATATTCGAAGAACCATATATGCTGAAGTTTTAGAAATTTTAAAAAATATGATACATATGACAAGCAATAATGACGATTCAATATGTCATGAATAAAATTGTTACAAATTACAAATTAAAAAACAATAAAATAAAAATTTCTTTGTCAAATTTATATTTTTTATATCAAACCTGTTGTATTAAACACATTGTATACGTGTTTAATCCATCTTATCCTCTAAAGAAACTAACAAAATTTAATCTTATTAAATTTTGTTAGTTTTTTTAGAGGATAAGATAGAAAAGAAGATACAAAAAGAGAATTGAAAAGAGATTTTTTTGCTTAGACTTATTATTAGACTTACTGCTTAGATACATATATGTATATATCTGATACAATAACAATACATATGTATGATCGTTTTATAACCAATAAAACAGATTGCTAATCCATATGATTTTCATGTAAATTTCAAAAAATGTGTTTAAAAACGATAAATTATCATTTTGTATGTTTTTAAAAAATCGTATAAACAGAATGCACTACTGCATAAATTTTTGATCAGAAAAAAACAATGAAAGTTAGCCGAAATGCTCGCGGTTCGAGGTTCAGCTCGATGGTCTGTTCACTAAGGTTTATCATTAAAATAAACATTTAGAAATGACAGAAAGATGTACATAAATGGCTTTACATGCATTCTACCATGTATATGTAACATATTGCATTTAATTACATAAAATTTTTATGAAAAGTGCCTGCACATTATAATTTGTTCTTCTAATTAAAATTGACATCTTTGTCCATAAAATAAATTTTTTTTTATAACAAAAAGACATTATAAATAATTTAAGAAGTGATAATATAAAATGCTTTAGAAATTTTTTATTTAGATATTTGCCAGTATATAAAATTTTGTAAAACACATGTACATTTTTTAATGTATTTCACTTTGAAATAACGTTTTAATTCATTCTCTTGTAGAACACTTTTTGTTTCATCTTACTCTATATTATAAATTTAATAATAAAGTATTACATTTAATAAAATAAAGTATTACATTTAGTAAAATAAAGTATTACATATTAGTTTCTTTTGTTAATATATAGTTATTTATGACGTTCTGTGATAAAATTTCTTTAACATATCAAAAAAAATATTGTGTGGAAGTCCGGACGACATCTGCTTTATGTGTACATTTATCAAATTATATGTTTCTTCTTCGTATTTGAAATAAGCGTCCAACAAATTTAAGTCACTGAATAATTGTTTCACGCGTTGTACCTTCTCTCGATCCAAATTTCCGTAAGACTCCTATGTATAAAAAAAGAAAGAGTTATTATAACAGCGTTCGATGAAGCAACACATTTAACAAATGATACTCACTTCTAATATTTTACGCTGCTGTGAAGTAACGCGTTGAAGCGCTTCAACAATAAACCACGTACATTTCCCTTCCTGGATATCAGTATTATCTTTGCCACAGATTTCAAAGTCCCCATAACAATCCAAATAATCATCTTGAATTTGAAACAAACATCCTATTTCTGTTAAGATGGTTGTTGCTTCCCTGAACATCTCTTGATCTTTTATTCCAGCCTACAACAAGTAACATATTATTATTTATCAATTATTATCAAACGAATCAATTTTCGTGTATAATATATATATATATATATATATATATATATATATATAATTACGGTACACTTACTAAATGCATTGCTACAATTACTGGCAAACAAGTTGAATAATACGCTGTTTTGAATTCGATAATGGAATTATATTGATTCATCGTAAATAAATCCAAATTTGGTCTGTTACCAAAATTAGTAGAAAGCAAATCTAAACTTTGGCCCATTGCTGCCTTCATTATAGTCTGTCAAAATTTTCATATATAATTGCTCGATTGAAAAGGAAAAGGAAAGAATATTTAGATAATGGATATATCGGAAAAAAAGGAAGATATATCTTTACTCACATCCTGGAATATTTCTAGTAGCTTAACATAACAATCTTTTCCTTTGAAGTGTTTTTGAATTAAATAAAATATAGAGCCCTGTAACATAAAAGAATCGTTGATTGCTGCTAAACCGAGATCATCGTATCGGTACCAACATAATTGGCCTCGGCGAAATAACGATTGGTCTTCTATATCATCCATTATGGAGAAATAAGCTTGCATCTGTATAGGTAAATGTCGTTTAATTCGTAATTATATTTAATAATTAAAATGATTATTATACACTATACTGTTTCTTTGATTTGAAGGTATTATAATTAAAATCTTAAGTATACTTTGCATTTGATTCATTTAATGCCGGTTGTTCCACCTTTTGATAAATTTTACCTATTGGGTAAGTAACAAGATTTACCCAATCATACGCGCGGATTGCCAGATTTACCTCACAAGTAAAATTTATCAAAAGGTGCAACAACCGGCCTTTAAAGTTTATGAAAAATATCGATATCAAGAAAAGAATAACGAATTTTACGTACCAATTCCACACACCATGCTAAAATCCTGGCTAGACGAATGTTTTCTTCTGTCAGTTGATCACTTGGTACTAATAATTTGTAGGCATAAACTAGCCCTAAACCGCGATTTTTCTTTCCATGTGGAACATTATATTGTAGTACCTACATAAAGAAACATCAATGTACGTACTTGTTCAACTCTAATGTTTAGTGTTTCGTTTTATTATAATTTTTGAATTATTAAAATATTAAAAATACTTGATGTCTTTTTTATTTTCTACAAAATCTGAAACTATTTATCTGATTCTATTTGTTTAAACATTTTCCTTAAGATATTTTCAAATTTCGATGATGTTTTTATTTTTCTAAATTTAGACATTATTTGAGAAAAAGAAACAAAAAGAATAAATTCTTATTTAAAATTTTTATATTCATGATTATTAATTTTGTCATAATGATATTGTATTATATTGTATTTTTTATAATCATGCTGAAAGAATTTATTTTGAATCGATTAGTTCTTCAAATATATATATAAGTTTTGATCACATCATCTGTTACATCCTACTTGGCTATTATAATATTTAGCTTTTAATTAATAACACAGGCCGACAAAATTTATGGAGATCTTGCGTTCTGAATTTTAAAAGACCTGATGCATTAATCAAATCGGGCTGCTTTTGCGAGACTTTAAATGGTCGGAAATTAGTTTTCCAAAAAAGGATTTAAACTAGAAACATACAGCTACAAGTATAAATTGTCAGATATTTTTTACAATTGTTTTTTTTTCGAATTATTTGGTTTTATATTTCAAAATTTATCAATTTATTTTTTATGATTTTTCCAAAGTATTTTTGTTGCATAAAACATTTTTATAAGAATCGAAAAAATATTTTTAGTATTGTTGGAACATTTTTAAATTAAATGTCGCAAAACAGACCTCGATATCATTTTTTGTTTAACCGGCAAAAATTAATAAAGAAATTACTTTCGGAAAAAACTGTTTTTGTGATTATTTAACAAATGGAGAGTAATGGAAAAAAACGAACAATGTTTTCAGCGTATCAAAATCCTATGGAAGTATCTTTCAAAGCATAAGACCCTCTCCCCCATTCTAAATTTTATTGGCCTGTGTAATTACTTACTTTTTCCATCCATTTTGCAACATCTGGAATGTTACAATTTTCAATCGCTTCTTTGATATCACGAATAACGTCCGGCCACACTGCCATTAATTGCTGACTTTCTTCCTTGCTTGTTATCGTTGGAGTCACGGAATGAGCCATTTATGTTACAATTGAACAATTCTAAGGTTTTAACAAATGTTAGTTTCACAAGATATGACAAATAGTAAGTAACAATGACGATTTATGTCATGAATAAAATTGTAATGAGTTACAAGCCAAGAAGATGATGAAATAAAAATTTTATATATTTTGTATACCTTTTACATGAAGTACTTTGTATTTTATTAAATTTTGATAATACCTTTAGAGGATAAGATGGAAAAGAAAACATGAAAATAGTACTAAAGATAGACTTATTCTTTGCTTGGTTATATATACCCGATACATTGAATAACAATACATATGTATGATCTTTTTATGATCAACAAAACAGTATACACATCAGTAATTCATATAACTGACATGTAAATATCGAAAGATTTTAATTTAAATAACAATTGTCGTTGCTGTTTTTTTTTATCCAAAAAAATACATTTCGTATGTTGTTTTTTAACCGAGAATATTTATCTTTATAAAATTTTTTATAAAACAATTACATTATAAATAATTTTAGAAATGACATTACTAAATGTTTTAAAATTTTTTTTCTTGATTTTTCTGAAGTGAAATATCTTTCTGAACATAAATCTTTATAAGAGATATTTTGATATTTTTCACAACAAAATAACATTTCAGGACTCTTGAACACCTCTCGTTTCATCTTATTTTGTATTTTAAATTTAATGATAAAATATCAATGCATAAGTATTTATTAATCAGTTTCTTTCTTCAATATACATATACAATTATTTTATAAAAAGAAATAACATTTTAATACTTTCGAATATTAGTAGAATTTCCCATTTCATCTTATTCTATACTTTAATGATAAAATATTAATGCATAAAATATTAACATTTTAATGCAAGATAAAATATTAATTTCTTCAATATACACAATTATTTTATGACACTCTGTGATAAATCTTCTTTAATAAATTCAAGAAGAGACTATGTGGAAGCCCGCATGATATCTGCTGTATATGTACTTTTAGTCGATTATATGTTTCTTCTTCGTATGTAGAATAAATTTTTGGTAAATCAAGATCAATGAAAAGTTGTTTCACGCGTCTTATTTTTTCCGGATCGGGAGAGCCGTAACATTCCTGCGTAATAAGAAAAAGAATTAGTATGACAGCATTTCACAAAGCACTTTTAAATCAATGATACTCACTTCTAAAATTTTACGCTGCTCCGGAGTGGCACATTGAAGAGCTACAACAATCAGCCACGTACATTTTCCGTCTTGTATATCATTACAATCCTTGCCATGGACATCGGATTTCCCATAGCAACCTAAATAATCATCTTGGACTTGGAACAAATGTCCCATTTCAGACAAGATGGATTTTGCTTGACTGAACATCTCTAGATCTTTTATTTCGGCCTAGATCAAGTAATGTAATGCAATATTATCATCAAAGTAAATCAGTCTTTTCGTGTTCAAGAAAACTGAGATACACTTACTAACTGCATAGCTACGGTTATTGGAAAAATAAAAGAATATTCCGATGCTTTGTATTGACAAATGGAATTATATCGATTCATTGTAAATAGATCCAGATTGAGTTTCTTAGAACCAAAACTGGTAGAGAGCAAATCCAAACTTTGGCCTATAGTTGTCTTGAATGTGATCTGTTGAAATACTTTCACATATATAATTGTTCGATTAGAAAGAAAAAAAATAGTTTACATAATGTGCGATTGGCAAGAACATATCTTCACTCACATCGTGCAATGTTTCTAGTAGATTAACATAACAATCTTTCCCTTTGAAGTATTTTTTAATTAGATAAAATATAGCACTCTCTAACAATAAACTATCATTAATTGCTGCTGGGCCTATATCATTGTATCGATACCAACATGGTTTGCCTCGGCGAAGTAACGATCGGTCCTCTATATCGTCGACTAAGAGAAGAGCGGCTTGCAACTGTATAATAATAAATGTCTTAATATCATAAATCGTAATTGCAATATTTAATATTTTTAATGAAGATCACTCATTATATGTACAACATACTGTCTTTAATTTGAAAATAATATAAATTAAAACTTTAACTATATATTTGCATTAGATTTATTCGAATTAAAATTCATGAAACATATCAATGTCAGATAAAGAAAAAAAGAACAGAATTACCAATTCCAGACACCATGCTACAATTCGTGCAAGACGAAAGTTTTCTTCTGTAAGTTGATCACTTGGTGCTAATACCTTATAGGCACAAACTAATGTTAAAGCGCGATTTTTTTTTCCTCCTGGAACATTGTACTGTAATATCTGTGAAATAGAGAAAGCATCATTAGGCTGCATATTTGTTCATGACTTATTGTTTTTGTAGATATAAATTAATGTAAAAGCGCGAACTTTTTTCTTCTTAGAACAGTATACTGTAATACCTGCATAAAGAAATATCAATCAATTTATATATTTTTTAAATCCGAGATTTATTGTTTCATGTATCTATTTACAGGTTTTTTTGAATTAGTGGATTACTCAAGGCTTTTTTTTAATTCCTACATAAAATCTAAAACTAATGCTATTTATTTAGCTTTTTTTTAAGTTCAGATTAGATTGTTGCTTATTAAATTTTGATGATGATTTATTTTTATTTTATACACTATTTGAGAAAAAAAAGAAAGAGAGAATTTTTATTAAAATTTTATATTTACGATTATGCAATTTGATATTGCATTATTTTGCATTACTTCTACATATAATTATCCTAAAGGAATTTATTCTATGAATCGATCAATACATCAAATGAATTTTAACATATTTCACACACATACATCCCATATTGGCTATAATATTTATAATATTTTTTATTTGTGACCATAATATTTATATATTATTTTAATCAATGATGACCTACTTTTTCCATCCATTTAGCAACATCTGAAAAGTTAGAATTTTCAATCTCTTCCGTGATATCACGAACAATGTCCGGCCACATTGCCATCATCTGTTGACTTTCCTCCTCGATGGTTACCCATATCGTTTGATCCATTATAATAAAACGTTCTAAAGTTTTAACAAATGTTAAGAAGAATGACAAATAACAATTCCGTTATGTCATCAACAAAATTGTGATAAATTACAAGAAAAAAATGATGAAATAAAAATTTCCTTCGATAAATTTAGATTTTTTTATGTCTTTTGTATTAAGCACTTTATATCTTACTAAACTTCGTTAGATACTTCAAAGTATAAAGTGGAAAGGAAGATACGAGAAGAGAACTAAAGAGAAATCTATTCTTTGCTTAGACATATATATCCTCGAATAGCAATACATATGTATGTTCTTTTTATGATCAACAAAGCGATTTACATATTAATATGATTTGATTATTGTCACATAAATTTCAAAAGATATTTTTTAATAATAAATTATCATATTTTGTACAATGCTTTTTTATAAAAAAAAAATCAGTATAAACAGAATGCAGCATATGCAGTTTATTACACAATTTTAATACTAGATTATTAAAATGTGTATTTGTTTATTCAAAAACGAAAAAAAATATATACACAAAAAAGCTTTACTTGCATATTACCATGTATATGTATTATTCACATATATATTACATTTAATTATATAAAAGATTTTTATAAATAATTCAGATTAATTGCATTGAAAGTCCGACAACCATTTCGGCACGTAATTATCATTTCTTCGAAATTAATTCGTTTATATGAATATATATATCAGTTCAACATCTCAACACTCAGATATAGTGGCGCGTATTTTAAAAGTAATGTTATTTAACATAAACGATCTTGTTTCCAATCTTATTGTTTATAAATAATGTTTATATATTGTAATTTGTTCCTATTTTATAAGTAAAATTAATATCTTTATTCACAAAATTTTAATAAAAGAAAATTATGAATAAGTGAAGAAATAATACCAAATGCTTAAAAATTTTTTTTATTAAATTTTTTTTAAATAAAATATTTTCCTGTACAAAAAAACTTTGTAAAAATGTCCTGATATTTTTTTTATAAAAAGAAATAACATTTTAATACTTTTGAATTATTAATAGAAATTCTCATTTGATTTTATTGTATACTTTAACGATAAAATATTAATGCATTAAATATTAATGTTTTAATGCACGATAAAATATTAATTTCTTCAATATACATAATTATTTTATGATACTCTGTGATAAATCTTCCTTAATAAATTCAAGAAGAAACTATGTGGAAGCCCGCATGACATCTGTTGTATATGTTCTTTTAGTAGATTATATGTTTTTTCTTCGTATGTAGAATAAATTTTTGGTAAATCAAGATCAATGAAAAGTTGTTTCACGCGTCTTACTTTTTCCGGATCGGGAGAACCATAACATTCCTGCGTAATAAGAAAAAGAATTAGTACAACAGCATTTCACGAAACAACGCACATTTAAATCAAAGATACTCACTTCTAAAATTTTCCGCTGCTCCGGAGTGGCACGTTGAAGAGCTACAACAATCAACCATGTACATTTTCCCTCTTGTATATCAGTATAATCCTTGCCATGAACATCGCTATAGCAACCTAAATAATCATCTTGGACTTGAAGCAGATACCCCATTTCTAACAAAATGGTTTTTGCTTGCCTGAATATCTCTGGATCTTTTATCCCAGCCTACAAATATGGCAATATTATTATCAAAACAAATCAATCTTTTTATGTATAAAAAAATTAAGATGCACTTACTAACTGCATTGCTATGGTTATTGGCAAAATAAAAGAATAGTGTGATGTTTTGTACTCGACAATGGAATTATATCGATTCATCGTAAACATATCTAAATCAGGTTTCTTGCCGAAATTGGTAGAAAGCATATCTAAACTTTGGCCTATTATTGTTTTCAATATATTCTGTCGAAATACTTTCATAAATTGATCAATTAAAAAGTAAAAGGAAATTATTTAATATCTATATATGTATATATGTATATATTTGGGAAAAGAGAAGATATCTTCACTCACATCGTGGAATGTTTCTAGTAGATTTACATAACAATCTTTCCCTTTGAAATATTTTTTAATTAGATAAAATATAGCACACGCTAACAATAAACCATCATTGATTGCTGCTAAACCGAGACTATTGTATCGGTACCAACATGGTTGGCCTCGGCGAATCAAAGATCGATCCTGTATGTCGTCTATCACGAGCAAAAAGGCTTGCATCTATGTAGTAATAAATGTATTAAGTTCATATTTAATTGCAATATTAATTGCACTATATTTTTAATTATCGCTAATTATATTATCTTTAATTTTAAGTTATTATAAATTAAAATATTACATTTTTCATTTAATTTATTAAATTATGGATAAAATGAGTGTCAATGTAAAGAAAAGAAGAACAAATTTACGCACCAGTTCTATACACCATGCTAAGATCCGTACTAAACGAATATTTTCTTCTGTAAGTTGATCACTTGGTATTAGTACCTTATAGGCATAGACTAATGTTAAAGCGCGAATTTTTTTTCCTCCTGGAACAGTATACTGTAATACCTGCATAAAGAAACATCAATCTGTATATTTTTTAAATTCGATATTTATTGTTTCATGTACCTAGGCTCATGTATTTAGGCTTTTTGAATTATTGAATTACTCAAAGCTTTTTTTATTTTCAAAATCTAAAACTAGTGCTATTTATTTAGCTTTTTTTCAAGATTACTTTAGATTGTTGTTTATTAAATATTGATGATGATTTATTTTTACTTTATACACTATTTAAGACAGAAAAAAGAAACAGAAAGAATTTTTATTAAAATTTTATATTTACGAATATGAAATTTGATATTGCATTATTTTGTATTACTTCTACAAGTAATAATCCTAAAGGAATTTATCCTAAGAGATGAATCGATCAATTTATGAAATGAATTTTAACATATTTCATACACACACACACACACACACACACACACACATCCCACATTGGCTATAACATTTATAATATTTTCTGTTTGACCATAATATTTATATATTATTTTAATTAATGATGACCTACTTTTCCCATCCATTTAGCAACATCTGAAAAGTTAGAATTTTCAATCTCTTCCGTAATATCACGAACAATGTCCGACCACATTGCCATCATCTGTTGACTTTCCTCCTCGCTGATGGTTACCCATATCGTTTGATCCATTATAGTAAAACATTCTAAAGTTTTAACAAATGTTAAGAAGAATGACAAATAACAATTCCGTTATGTCATGAACAAAATTGTAATAAATTACAAGAAAAAAATGATAAAATAAAAATTTCCTTCGATAAATTTAGATTTTTTTATGTCTTTTGTATTACCACTTTATATCTTACTAAACTTCGTTAGATACTTCAAAGTATAAAGTGGAAAGGAAGATACGAGAAGAGAACTAAAGAGAAAGCTATTCTTTGCTTAGACATATATATCCTCGAATAGCAATACATATGTATGTTCTTTTTATGATCAACAAAGCGATTTACATATTAATATGATTTGATTGTCACATAAATTTCAAAAGATATTTTTTAATAATAAATTATCATATTTTGTACAATGCTTTTTTATTAAAAAAAAATCAGTATAAACAGAATGCAGCATATGCAGTTTATTACACAATTTTAATACTAGATTATTAAAATGTGTATTTGTTTATTCAAAAACGAAAAAAAATATATACACAAAAAAGCTTTACTTGCATATTACCATATATATGTATTATTCACATATATATTACATTTAATTATATAAAAGATTTTTATAAATAATTCAGATTAATTGCATTGAAAGTCCGACAACCATTTCGGCACGTAATTATCATTTCTTCGAAATTAATTCGTTTATATGAATATATATATCAGTTCAACATCTCAACACTCAGATATAGTGGCGCGTATTTTAAAAGTAATGTTATTTAACATAAACGATCTTGTTTCCAATCTTATTGTTTATAAATAATGTTTATATATTGTAATTTGTTCCTATTTTATAAGTAAAATTAATATCTTTATTTATAAAATTTTAATAAAAGAAAACCATTATGAATAAGTGAAGAAATAATACCAAATGCTTAAAAATTTTTTTTATTAAACTTTTTTATAAAATTTTTTTTAAGTAAAATATTTTCCTGTACATAAAAACTTTGTAAAAGATATCCTGATATTTTTTTTATAAAAAGAAATAACATTTTAATACTTTCGAATTATTATTAGAAATTCTCCTTTCCTTTTATTCTATACTTTAATGATAAAATATTAATGCATTAAATATTAACATTTTAATGCTCGATAAAATATTAATTTCTTCAATATACACAATTACTTTATGACACTCTGTGATAAATCTTCCTTAATAAATTCAAGAAGAGACTATGTGGAAGCCCGCGTGATATCTGTTGTATATGTACATTTAGTAGATTATATGTTTCTTCTTCATATATAGAATAAGTGTTAGGCAAACCAAGATCAGTGAAAAGTTGTCTCACGCGTCTTACTTTCTCCGGATCGGGAGAGCCGTAACATTCCTGCGTAAAAAAAAGAATTAGTATAACAGCATTTCACGAAACAACACGCACATTTAAATCAACGATACTCACTTCTAAAATTTTACGCTGCTCCGGAGTGGCACGTTGAAGAGCTACAACAATCAGCCATGTACATTTTCCCTCTTGTATATCAGTATAATCCTTGCTGTGAACATCGCTATAGCAACCTAAATAATCATCTTGGACTTGAAACAAATGCCCCATTTCTAATAAAATGGTTTTTGCTTGCCTGAACATCTCTGGATCTTTTATTCCAGCCTACAAATAATACAATACAGTATTATCATCAAAACAAATCAATCTATTTATGTATAAGAAAATTAAAATGTACTTACTAAATGCATTGCTATGGTTATTGGCAAAATAAAAGAATAGTGCGATGTTTTGTACTCGACAATGGAATTATATCGATTCATCGTAAACATATCTAAATCAGGTTTCTTGCCGAAATTGGTAGAAAGCATATCTAAACTTTGGCCTATTATTGTTTTCAATATAGTCTGTCGAAATACTTTCATAAATAATTATTCAATTAAGAAATAAAAGGAAATTATTTAATATCTATATATGTATATATGTATATATTTGGGAAAAGAGAAGATATCTTCACTCACATCGTGGAATGTTTCTAGTAGAGTAACATAACAATCTTTCCCTTTGAAATACTTTTTAATTAGATAAAATATAGCATTCTCTAACAATAAACTATCATTGACTGCTGCTAAACCGAGATCATTGTATCGATACC